TCATTTTAAACTTTATTACTTAGTTGACATTTACCAGCATTAGTAATTTATACATATATGTATTTCGTTATAATATTCCGTAAAAAACTGTCGAATATGATATGTATCTTTGTATTAAAAATATATAATAAAATAGTTTTGTTTCTTTTTCTAATAATAAGCAATTGTTACATTTTTATAGAATTATTTTCTATCTCAATCAATGCACCAAAGCAACCATTATTTTAAGTCATCTTAAACTAATGAGTAATGACAAATAAATAAGAAAAAGATGATGAAATTAATTAGTTGTACATATGTATTGAGTTATTAAGTTAAAGAGCTTTCATCTCTCTTTATATATAAACTAGAAGACCCGGCGAACTTCGTATCGCCCTATAATCAAGAAATGTCTGTTAAGTTTTTTTTATATTTTTGGAGTTTACCCGTTAAAGCCGTAAATCTCCGTGTTTTTAAGTGCGACAGAATGATTGACATATTAGTTAGTTGTCAAATCTAATGTCAAAAAAAAAACGTTTGTATCAACAACTACTAATAAATTAAAAATTAATTAAAAAAACATTGTCCAGCGGACAAAATTGTGATACTAAACAATTCCCAGATACCCTTGAACACACACAAAAAATTTCATCATAATCGGTCCAGTCGTTTGAGAGAAGTTCAGTGACATGCACACTTACAGAAGAATTATATATATAAAGATATTGTTGGTTATAACTTATAATATATGGCAAGTATGAGTATCTTTGTAGCGAATTGTGACCGTTGAAGTAATGTCTCACAAAATAAACCCTACAATCCTAACTGGCATAATAAACTTTAAAATAAACTAATCATTGTCTTTATAAATAACTAATTACGAAATTACTTCAATTAATTAAATTAATGGTGTGTTAAAACGTTAAAGTCACATTGAGTGATGAGTGTAATTGCATCGGAGTGTTCATTAAGAGTGCGGTCGGTCCTCGGATGACAGCGGGCTGGGTTCCGTACGTTAATTACCTACGGAACTCATACAACGACACATGACTCTACCTGGAGCATATGAGGGATTTAAAGGCTAATATTATACTTAACAAAATATATTTATTGATAATCATGAAAAAGTAAAAAAAATGAAAACGCAATGAAGGAAATCTTTCAAAATATTATTTGCCACTTGTATTTTATAATGATAATGTATAATTGTCATAAAGAATAGGGAAAAAGTCATCCTCTCCACTTTTCTTTTACTTTTTAAGTTTGACTTATTTAATAACTTTCGTTCACAAATATACATAAAAAATTTAGATCGACGGTCAATAATTTTTCTCGTGGTTATATGACGATAAACAACTAGAAACTAATGTAAATATTAATTAAATTTATCATAATTCAAATAAGGTTTTTTATTTAATAATTCTACCGGTAGTTTGTTGTCAAAGTGATTGAATTGTTGAAAGCAAAACCATTACTATCAAACCTGCTAATAAAGTCACTATTAACATTCAGCTGAAGACTCAACACAAATATTTAGAAGACACAGAATTAAGTTTGTACTAATCAAACGAATCAGAATCAAGTTTGGACTGAGAACAGATTTATCGGTACAAAGTTCTTCAGGAACTATTAACTCTGCAAAATATGCTTACAAAACAGACTATTTTTTTCGACATATCCAAAGAGTTGTGTAGATAAATTAGGTAGATGTTCTAAACATAAGATTACAAGCTCTACAATTTAGGGACTATGGCAATACGAGTGAAAATTCCAGATTTTAGACCCTAGCAACTGGACCTGACGAAAATTTTACGTAATTAAAAACATTTTAATTTATGATAAATTTCAATTAAATGTGGTCCGTAATAATAATTTTAAATTAAACAAACAATACAAAATCCTACTACATAGTGTTTAAAGCAAATTGTTTTAAAATTTATCAGTAAAAATATTTTACTTATAAATTAAAACAAAATTATTTCATAATAAATACGAAATCTTATTGAGATGGTTAATCTGATAAAATTTTATTAAGTGTTAAACAAAAGTCTTAAATGTACTGACACCATTTTAGCAATGATTGAGTATATAACGCACTACCCAAAATTAGAAATTTTTAATCAGGGCCCACAGATATGTGAAGATGCCATCACCCACCTTGTACATTCTCCAGATGCCGTTGAAATTACGACAAATCAGGAGAAACTTGGACTAATGGCGACCATATCTAGACGTCTTCTTTCAACTAACAGAAATTAACTATATAAAATGAAGTAGGTACTTATATATATGAATGAAAAACGAAATTTGAGAGTATCAAAGCATTTCATTTCACAATGTCCTCAGTGTCTTCTCTGTACACGTTTCAGCATGGATGAAAGCCACAAATTAAGAACTTAGCTACACAATGCTTTTAGCAGCAATGCTCTTACTGTGCAATAAAACCCCTGTATTTGCTTATTGAAACAAAAACGCACACATACATACCTACACTCATAAAACACACATACGTTCACACATTCACATTTCACGGGATACATAAGTACTCACATTCGTAAAATGTTGCAAACTAACCCAAAAATATTATTTAACGAATAGTTAAGTTACATAACATTTTACATATTTCACTTTTTCTACATACCATTTTTCATAAATTAATACAAGATGTTTTTTTATACGTAATATTTGATTTAAAAGTTTCGAGTAAAGAAAACAATGCTGAAAAGGTATCTAATGTTATTATTAAGGTAAGTCATTTGATTTGTATAATTTGACCTTAAAATCCAATTTGTTAAATTAATTTCTTTTTGGTACTAGACTACTAGTTTCTGACACGAAGTAATGGGTTCTGAAGCGAAGTTTTTAGTACATGCTTTGCCGTAAGAGAGCATGTCTTAGTAATGATTGAGATTATTTTAATAGGAATTGTGAATGCGTAAAGAAATAATAATAATAAGCTGTTTACCACGACTCCGCCAGCGTAGAAAAAGAAACAAAAAAACTCTTAATCACCGAATGCACCCCCTCTAACTCGCTCGTCGCCTAATTTTGGGATCGGGATTAAAAGCAACTTAGGCTACTGCCTAAATTACTCTTTAATACATCAGCTACGACCTTGCAATAAAAGTCCCATCAAAATCGGTCAAACCATTCAGAGGTTATCCGGAACAAACGGACAGTTAGACAAAAATTTTTTAAATGTTATTTTGGTGTATCTAACGTACCTATATAAATTCACATGCATGTAGTAAAACCGTTTTGTTTTTTTCAATTTTCAAACGGACACCCAAATTTTATTTAAAAGTATAAACATGTTTATTTATACGAACGCGTATAAATATAAATATCATTTAAAATCGAATGTAGCTTTAGCTGTAGTTACTCAGATGTTTTTCTTATGTTCCGTAGTTTTATATCTTACAAGCTGTATATGTATTGTTTACACATTATGTTACTGTACCCTGTTTACGATTTGGATGAAGGTTATTCTATTATGAATTAAGATTTTGTATTGTTTTATCAATTATTATCACTCCGCAATAGAACTACTTAGTTTAACTTACTAGTAAATTACTTTGAAGAGCTGCAACCTTCATATAATGTCACATTCATACAAGTGTTTTACACAAGCAGGCAGCTTAACCCGAAATCAAATTCATGCTTAGAATAATTCATTATCAAGGCTACAAACACTTCCTGGTTTATCAGTTACTCCGCTCACACATACAGAACAATACTCCCCAACTACAATACAATATGGCACAAATACGATATCTAACAACTACAATACATTATCCCACAACTGCAACAAGTTAAAACTAGAATACGATGTCCCATAATTACATTACAATATCCCAAAAATACAAAACAAGATTCAAAAATTACAATACTACACCCCTTACACCGTCTTAATCATATCTAAAAAAATCGTCCTATTAACTCGAACAGTCGTTACAACTGTTTAACTCCTCAATCCTCAAATATGAATCGAAATCAGTCCTTTAATATTTTTCCCTCAAAATTTCTGTGAAAAAGGAATTACATGTAGAATATTTTATCTGAAAATAATTTAGGCGTATTCTTAAAAAAAATACATTCTAGACTACTGTTTGATCGAGATATCAATTCGATAACAGGACTCAATAGAAAAAGGTTTTATTATCTGAAAAAAAAACATTGTTTCATTTGTCTGGAATAAAAACAAATATTTGGGAGAGAACTAAAAGAAGATATCTACCAATTAAAGGAAAATGTTTTCAACGGAAACTATACATTTCTATCTTACTAGTATTTACTTCATGTTTTGCATATATTATATACATATTAAACATATTATGTATATGTATAAGGCCATAATAAAAGACGTTTGTGACAGAGAAATCATTTATTAGTAATATTTTAAATTTGTGATTCAGAAAATAACGCCGTCAAATATTGGTCACTTACTATAAATCTGCTCTAGATAACTACACCTCAGATTAAAATAATACATAATACACAAAATGGACAAGTTATTTTATAATATATTACTAGTATTAAATCCGTTCAAAAACAATTCGTTTATTTCATCCCTGTTTCTCAATTTAATTTCAAATCTAATAAAATCTCATCGGTGGCACCACACAAAAATCCAATTACGCCAAAGACTTCCATAATATTCCATAACATTAAAATCATCATTTCCTTCCAAAAAGCCATCCTTTGCTCGTAAATGTCATAAAATTCATAAAAAAATAATGAATTTTAAGTGAAACAATTCAACTTACCACTAACATGACGTGACATGACTAAACATCTAAAGAAATTCTGAAGTGCAAAAACAAATATTTAATCAAATGAATGATGATCTTACAAATAATGGAATATTTATTGTTAAATAATCTTAAATAGTTATTAATAAAAGATATTTCCACACATCAGTTTTACATGCAAATATATATGTTGTTGCACTTTTAACATCACAGATACAAAGATATTATTCAACATAAAATTTCATATTGTATTTTATCAGTTGAATGTCATTAAATACAGCTACACAAAGAATATTGTTAGTCCTTAAACATCATACTTATTATAAATCACAAGGACATTGTCAGAAACTCCATATTAATACTTAATCGGAGATAATTAAACCAGAATATTATATTTTTTCTTTCACATGGACGTCGGAGACCAGAAATTCATTTCTCGTAGTTCTGAAGGCTTGGGTCGGTAACTGTTGGATGGTTTTGATGTTTTGGAAGGTGTTGAATCATTTATTAACTTCGGATCTTGTTTTGAAGGACCCAAGTTTTCGACAGATTCTGCTAGACTACCACCTGAAAAATAAACATATTATATTAGTAACATATTTTTTTTTACCTGGTAATTTCCCAGCTTTAGCCAGGATCTGCCTTACATGTTGTGAATAACTTTGGCTAACTGTTTTTACGACTGGCCGCCTGCCTGACATCTACCCTCTTTGGGAATGCATTACTCAGTGGTGTCTCAATACTCTTAGAAAGTACATGTGACTCAGAAAAATCACATTGGTACTTGCCATGATCAAACCCGCGCCTAGGCTAGGCTAGGCCATCACTGATTTAATAACATATTTTATTCATACTAAAATAAATATATATTAGTAGTTAACAAGAAGTCTTACTTTCAATGTGATATTATGGTATTTGTATTACAATTAAATATAGACATTTACTTAACAAAAGTTATTGGAAATTCAAGAATTTTCTTACACAAAATTACCAATATATTATATATGTTTTAATACTTACATTGTAACCGATGCTCAGCCTCTTCTTCAGCGAGGGTTGATGTCGAGGTGGTCAAATCCTTCTTGAAGCCGAGCAGAGCCATCGTCAGCCAGGAACTTCGGCTGGCATCTTCAGATGGCTCAAATGGTGATGTGAAATAACTGGAAACATTAATACTCTATTAGAAATAAAATTAATACAAGTATATTAATTTTGTGATATATGTATTGTACTAAGTAGAATGACTGTATGACAGTACCTAATATAATTATCTATGGACATTATACTTGACATCATATTATTTAAGAATACAGAGCAAGTATAACTTATACACAACAAGACACCAAAAAGATTAATATGTATATTGAAAATGAAAACCAGATTCTGTTAAGTGAAATAATATTTGCAATTTAAGTTACCTAGCCAGAATATTAAAAAGTATTATAGAAATTTAATAAAAATACAAAATAAAATGGAGATAAACTATTATGAAAACATTATTTTTTATTTTAGATATAACATAATACACTGACATTGTGGAATATTTTATAGATGTCGCAATAGTAATTTACAATTAAATAATATATATTTTAATATACTTTTGAATAGACTGTGAATGAAGATATTGGCTAGTGAAGTATTGCTGTTTTGTTAAATTGTGCATTAATGAACAATGTCTAAATTAATTATTCATATAATAAATAAACATAGATAATAACTAGAGAAAATTTATTGTTTATATTTTAAAACATACTTCAATATTTATTTATTTATTATTAATACACATTCAAGGAATAATTAATTTTATGTTAAACTATTTTCATATTAGATATACAACTTATTGTTAAATTTTCCACTTTTCCTTCAAGTATTTTTTATATAAATCATAATTCCTAAGCCATTAAGCATTAATAAATCTGTTTTACTCATTGAATCAAATTGTCCTTACTTTTGTATGATATATGTTAGCAGATTTCTCACAACCATGTTTTAATATCTATTGTAATAATAAATTTATGTAACTGTAGATATTTGAAGATAAAAATATTAAATCATTACACTTAAGTTAAATAATTATATAGATATAATTGATAGTTAATACAATAAAAACCAATGTTTATAATTAATTATGATTTTGTAATTAAGAATTGGATAGTGAATATAATGAAGATTTGGGCAGACCCTACGGCTATAATACTAAAAACCTTAAAAGTTTATTTTGAAAGACTGTTTTATAACCACTTCGGAAATAAGATATAAAGATAACTAACAAGACTTTTTGATATGCATCTAAATGAAACTAATATTATGTTCTGATTTACTATGAGTTTTTACGTTGGTTGTTTAAAATATAGCCATCATCCGTGCAAAGAACTGCACAATATTTTCTGCCATATGCATATTTCACTATATTTAAAAACTAAACACACCCAAAAAGACTTTAATTTGTAACTATTCTACTAATATTATAATTGCGAAAGCTTGTGTGTGTGTATGTTTGTTACTTCTTCACGCTCAAACAGCTGAACCTATTTTTATAAAATTTTGTATACAGGAAGCTGACATCCAGGAATAACACATAGGCTACTTTACATCCCGGAAATCCGAAGGTAAAACCGTGGGGCGCAGCTAGTAAGACGTATAAAGTAACTTACCGATTGCCAACCATTCTTCGTCTGCTTGTAGGGCTTCCGTGTGGCGAAGTCGCTGGCGTGGCAGGAAGACTTCTACTACCACGACGAGTGAGTCGAGGTACTGGTTCAGGAGCCGAATCGGCAGGAGTAGCGACTGTGAAACCTCTTGATGAGATCATTTGGTGCGCTACCTGGATATAACATGAATAGAAACCGATTGTAACCAATAATACAAACAAATTCTAAACCAGGTAATAAAAATGGCGGATAATTAGATGGTTTACGTATAGACCGTATTCACAATAGAATGACGTTGGAATGGCTTAATTAACAATAGTTAGGATTATAATAATCAGAAAGTTTGAAAAACAAAAGAAATAATACGAAATACTCGTATGAATAAACAATGATTTCTGCTTTTAAACTTGAGATAATCTTTCACCGTTTAGAATTCCAGGAATTGAAATTTACATACATTTATTGCTTTGTATACTATAATATGGCTTTAATGAGTATACTATCATAAATTATGTATGAAATGAGGAACAAACAACTAGACTGTATAAACATAGAAATAAACACACTTAACACTGCCATTTTGTTACACATAAAAACTTCTATTTCTTAATAATATCACATTGAAATAATATATATGTAAAAAAACACTATGTAATTTGCAAAAATTTAAATATTTAAATGACGTTTTTTAGTCGTTCTGTCTAACGCGACTCAAATCTAACTGTCATGGGAACTGACCTACAATTTGTTAATCGTTATTTTTAACTTGTGATTGATGCGTGATTTTGGTAACCTAATAACTCTTTTAAATTATCAAATTATTATAAAAAAAATATTATCAAATACAATACTTCAAATTTTGAATCTAATGTAGCACTTTGTTTCAATGCCATCCTTGCAACATAATGTAGTAAATACTATTTGCTGAGTCATAACAATTTGAACTAAATAGAATGTATGCGTTCAAATACCTTGAAATAACACAGATTCTTTGACTGTTTTTAAAAATTATACAGCAAAGATAATATACTTTTATCATTAAAACTCATTTATCTTACATAAATAAACAGTTTAATTAGCGCATACGCGTTATCATTAATGGAGTGGGGTATTAAATTTCGTTTGCAATATTCAAAATTATTGCGTCATAATACATTCCAAGTCATTCTAGTAAATAACATTCCACTAATGAACAAATAAAATTATAATCAACGAAATATTTTATCTAAAATTTATTTTGAAACACAAAATTTGATAAAGTCAAATCTTTTAAATTAACTCATTTATTTAATTTATTGATTTGAATAAAATTAACATTGTAATTCAAAAACGCGCCAAAACAAAATGTCATTGTGTGAGATTGACATTTTGAGAAAAAAATATACTAGGTATTCAAATAGAATATTCGTTCGGAAACCAATATTAAATGTATATTTATATTCCTAAACTAATAATAATATTGTTTTATCAACTGACCTTGACGACTGAACTGCCGCAAGCCGCCCCCTCCCCTTTGAAGCCATCGTCCGTTCCCGCCGGTTTTGGCTTGACGTTTACAGACTTCGCTGCAAACGAAAATGGATTTAAATTTTAAGCAAATCGATTGAATATTTCTCGATCGTGACGTCACAGCGTCAGACACGCCCCCATTACGTACATTTTAACAACAAAATGTCGACATCCATTTTGCTTAAACAACTCATTAAACGCGGGAAATTACGCGTGACGTAGCTTAAACTAATATTTATACTTATTAAATATTTGTATTTAATATTATTTTCATTTCTATTTAGTGTAACGAAGTTTTAAAAAAAGAATTCGTGGAATCGTATTCTAGAACATGTCACTGCGAGTTCTTGTTAAAATGCATACAAAATTAAAACGAGTAATTTGGCAGGGTCAACGACACTGATAAATGTATATGATAATTGTTGAGATCTTTAAATGTCGATCTTTCTTTAATTCTTTACAGCTTGACTTCACCTTTTCTTGAAACTTTTTACGTTGAACTAGTTGAATTGTGTTGTATTGAAGATTACGAATACAATAGTTTTTTTTACAAACAATGTACGTCAGTCTTATTCAATAACACTTTACAGCTACATTTAAAAATTACTTCGAAATTTACCTTACTGAAACCTTATAATAATCTTTATTGAGTTATATACACGAAGAATTATTTTTGTTTTCAATGAATTTATAACTCATTTATATTTTGATACTAATAATTTTAATGGATATTTTAGTTTATTTCGTATAGCTTTCCGCCCGCAGCTTCGTCCGCGCGGTGTTCGGTTATATCGCGTTTCCAAGAGAACCTTTCAAACGTCTGGGATAAAAACCTATGTTCTTTCTCAAGGTCAACTCTGTCTGTACCAAATTTCATTAAAATCAGTTCAGTGGTTTACGTGAAAGCGTAACAGAAAGACAGAGAGTTATTTTCGCATTTATAATATTAGTAGGGATGTCTTACCAGCTGTGTTAATAGGAGCGATGCCGTTAAGCACTTCTTGGCATGGTTTTGTGTGTTTCGACCAATCCTGGTCCTTGATCACGTATTGCGCGAAGTCCTTGGGTTCGTTCAGAGCTTTAGGTATATCAGCGTTGAATTTTGGCTTTCCGAACAGCACGTCGGATTTCGGATAGCGGATGTAGAAGAATGTGTCCTCGGGAGCAGGCGGTGATGAGGCAAACGGTTCAAATTCTCTGTTGACAATAAATATAATATAATGGCTAGTCAGTGGTGGCCTAATGGTTAGAAGGCCCGTCTCTCGTTGCCGAGGGCGCGAGTTCGATGCTGGCCCGGGCAAGTAACAATGTGATTTTCCGAATCATATGTACTTTCTAAGAATATTTAGGCATCACTGATTAATGCTGATTCCCAAAAGAGGGGTGATGTCAGGCAGGCGGCCGGTCGTAAAAAACAATTAGCCAAAACTATTCACAAGATGTAAGGCAGACCCTGGCTATAGCCGGGAAATTGCCAGGTAGAAAAAAATGGCTATATTTCTCGGAAGTTTTGATTTACTTCTCAGTAATAGTGGAATGGAAATAGTCTAAAGAATTCTTAGAAATTGTTTTTTTTGGAGCTATTCCAATTCACAGAGTTCACGTAGATTTATTTTTGGAACATTAAAAATAGATAAATTATTCAAATTTTGTGTAAATTGTAACCAAACATGGAAAAAGGTTAGATTTTTATCAAAATTATCGAATACTCACGAGAATATATTATTCAACGTATTAAATTGAGCAACAATGTTCCTTTTCTTCATCATTTTAAATAATTAAATAACTCAGATGCGACTAATACAAATAGTACCGTAAACTAAAACTGAAGTACACGAGCCGTAAGTTTTTATATCACCAGCTTGTTGGCAGTGTTAATCTTATCGCGATAATTATTATTGTAAGCTGAACGAAAATAACCGACCTACGTCACAACTAGTCAGCCAATGACCAAGGAGTTTCTACGCACTCCCCCAGAAAGAGAATGTATGACAGAGGTCAAAGCCGGGAATCCTGTTTAATGAAAAAAAAAAAAAGGAAATATTTTGACAGATATTATCACGTGCCAGGTTTTGACATGACCTCGTAGGGAGAGTGCGTGTATAAATAAAACAATTGGCTCGCTTACAATTTCATGTACTTTAAATATATTTAATATGTACTGGCTTCGAATTGAGAGAATATTGAGGACGGACAGACAAATAAATAGAAAATTCTTATAGACATTTGTAACAATGGAATATAGACGCGTTCACCTTCAGTAACTTGTAAAGACTAGTTTACACTATAGACCTCGTGTCATCGGTGTATAGACAATGTTTAATAAATAATTGTTTTTTTTTTCTTAGACTTTTAATGACAATGTGTATGCAAATCATAGAAATACACATTCTATGTATAAACATATATAAAAAAGTTATGTTAGTTACACTATTTATAATTAAAGAACGACTGAAAGAATTTGGCTGGAAATTTGTGGGGAGGTAGGTTGTTAGGTGACGGACATAGGATAATTTTGAATTCGTTCAACAAAAAAAATATTACTTTATTCAAAATCTGTTTATTTACTGCCTCTTAATTGAAACAGTTCGCCTGGTCAGCTATACATTTCTAATTATGAAACTAACGTGTAAAAAGTCACGGTCAAAAGCTAGTTTCAAATATTAAGTTCTATTATTATTATTACGAATATGCATATTTCGTCTGCCGCTCTACACGTGCATTATGCATGGCATTGTAATACTGTTATATACTATTATGTCTCAAAATATTCTTGGACTTATTTCATCTAATTATAAATTGCATTCACTTATATTATGATAACTAATTTATGTAATAATTAAACTATTTAAGATTTTTTTTAAATTCATTTAGACCAAACAAGACTGCAATCGAAAGCATTATGCCGATGTATACCAAAAAGTTTTTAATCATCCTTAATTATTTTTTTGTTACAGTTTATACAAATCTATTATACTAATATCACTGTTTACATAATTCCTGTCGCTAGTACGGCTTCGTTTAACACATAATATAAATAGAACATGCAACAAATAAATATGTTATTGTTTTTATTTAACATAGCATGTTTGATACGTCACTGAATAATATTTATTATTTCATTATCACTATAACAACATGGAATACACGACTTGAAATAAAAATCTAATGATTAGATAAACACTTAATAAAATAAATGACTATTTATAATTTTTCCATAATCATGCCCTTCCACTTCCTGTTTTGAATTGTTATCTAGTGGTTAGTATCAAAAATAAATATTGAATGACCGTTACCTATTATTAGGAAGTTATTTCAATACAAAAAAAACTTACTTTTTAATTATTGGCATTATAGCATGTGTTCAGAAATGTATACAATATATTAGTATTCTGCCAAATTGTGTAGTAAAAATATTAATAAATAAAGATGAATTAGTTATTTAGAGTTATTTTGTTTGTAAAACTAAAATTTAATTTCTTGCTTATATTGTTATAATATATAGTAATTATAATGTATGTATTTTTCTCCTAAAATTCTAAATAAATATAAAATATTATACAGGCCCATATTCATAACTAAATTCGTTAATTACGCTATTTCAAGTGTTAATCGATTTTCTTCCAAATCGATATCAAAATATAATTATTAAATGGTCATCTTGACTCACTTTCTTATCATCGTGTCATCAAGTGAAAGTCCCATATAACAAATCACATAAGTTAATATTAATATACATATATGTTACTACATAAAAACAACAAAGAATTCCCTCAATATAAATAATGACCAAAAATGAATTGACAAATACTATCGACAATATAAAATGATAAAAAATATTCTAAAAAAAAACTTTTTTTCACGTGAAAATTATCATTGACGTCACATCAGTGATAACATTTAATATTGCATTTCTTAAATATAATGTTTTTAAAGTTTAAACAATTCAAAGAAATCTCCACCTTGAAATGCGAACAGAATTAACACAAACACACAAGAAAGGTATCATCATCATCATCATCCTATCAGAGCCCACTGCTGAGCAAAGGCCTCTTCTCACATGGAGAAGGTTTGGGCATTAATCACCACGCTTGCTCAAGACGGGTTGGTATAAACTTGTAAACACTAAATATATAAAAACTAAAAATATATGATCAGACCAGAGACACAAAAACTAATAGTAAAAGTAGTTTTAAAATATTCAAATAAGTTTATTAAAGGTCAAGGATATCATGAACGTCTCTTGCTTAGTAACTTATTGTATTTATGGACTGATAAATAGTGTGACGTCACACGGCATGACAAAAGTATTAGCATATATCTTATTCAAAACTTTATTTTTAAAATACATTTTATTAGTAAGACATCTAGATTTTTAATTTTACGTCATTTTAATAGCAACCATTGCATTTCATTAAGCTTCAATTGAAATGCCATTGTGTTAGAAAAGAACAAACCTTTTTTAACTATTTTTTTGTTCATTATAGTCATTTCAGATTGATGAATTACTAACAGTAAGATATTTTTATATGTATTATGACTAATGACTAATATCTGTTTAGTTCCAGAACTGCAATTAAAAACAATCTATTTGACAATTGACATAACGCTTTTGAAGTTTTTCGTCTTGGCACCATTTTTACTAACATTATAAATAAACAAAATAATAGTTATAATTTATTAATAGAAATAAGAGAAATAAGTGAATTTAATAAGAAAAATCGCAAGATTTTTGTGAAGGTGTATTCTAAGGTCAGTTTATTGTGAAATAGTTTTATATTTGAAATATGGCGCCCTTTCAATTTAACCTCGTAAAGGTATTTTATTTCCACATCTAACGAACCGGTCGAAATAGAACTGATGACCTTCAAGTAGCCGCCGCCTTTTAAATAAAGATAATATTTGGTGGCTAGTGATTTATATTTCAAACGTTATCTTCGTATTTTGTTTCATGGTTCAATTCATTTCAAATGGCTATCATATCTAAATCAAAATAAATAATATTTCATATACATTGATATTTAAAAATCTTGTCTGACCCTACTCTCGGGAGTATAGTTTATCTGCTGTATAGTTTTCGCAATCTACACATTTTAAATAAGTTCATAGAATAAAAATATTGTTAAAATTTTTGACAATTCTTTGATGTTATTTCTATAATGGTTAAATTACAAAATTTTATCGTCAGTCACTGTGTTTGTCGGGCATCCAATGGTATTTTAACACATTTTGTGATATATTATAAAGGTATGTACATAAATATGTATAAATATCATGGTATAAAACAAGAAACAAAAATCACACTTACTTCGATGGTTTTGTCTTCATCCAAACCGGCAGACTAAATCCATCCTTAATTTCTGGGTCGCTTGAAGCCATATTTGAGTTTATAGGGATATTAACAAATTACGGGCACTTAAAATATATAAATCTACAGCGTAACTTTACAAGTATATAAAGAAACTGATTTGGCACTTTGGTGTATTATCTTGAGCAGAGATAAGACAGTTATTGCCAACATGAAAGATTGATAAATAAAAACAATAAAATATTATATATGAAGATTTAACTAATTAAGAGAATGTAACTAAAATAATATTCAAGAAACCCTTTGAGAGGCACTTGATGAAAGACTGAGGGTGGAGAAATGCATCTGAAAAAGAAATATTATACTTAAATTATCCACAATTAGGAAATATAGAACTAGTATACCTAAAAATACTATAACTTGGCTTGAATAGGGGTTTATACATATATAATATGTGTATGCAATATCATAACATTTGTATTAAAATTTATTGATTTCTTTGTTCACAACAAAATGTCATTAAGACCAGTTTTTAACTTTAATCTGTTAATTAATCACTGATGTCTCATAATTACAATCTTTTAATGAATGTTGATAATGGAAGCTTTAGTTTTATGTTTGTAAATTATTTAACACATTTCCGTACATTGAATCCGTTATGACCGACATATTGTAAAAATTCTATGATTGCATACAGTCAATAGTTATGCATTTAAAATGGATTAATTATAGTAAATGCGCAATAGAACGTCGCGAATACAATTGCTACCTACAATAAGGCATGGAGTACATCGCTTAACTGTAAATTTTTTCACACAATAGCCATATACGCCCTCGATTTATGCCAATCTTAAGTATGCTAGCTTGCATATGTATTTTAATATAACATAAGGTAACAAATTATATTCTATTACATAATAAAATGGATTGCAGTATTTAGATAGACGAAACAATATGAAGGTATTATAAACAAAGTCACGTGTAATTCACACATATCTTATTATAGGTAAATAGAACGCGTGATCTGCATTTTTCATGTATTTTTATGGGTAATATATGAAGCAATATAATATTAAATGCAAACTTACTGTTTTGGAAACAATTAAAGCACTTGAAATAAACATTTTAAGAAATAAACAGGACACCTCACAAGCTAAATTTTCTGAATAATTTATTAATTAGGGATACCATATATTGGATGCTATCCAAAAATCGCTACCAAGTATTGAATATCAAGTGTTGCCAGTTAAGATTGATTCACATTAGCATATGTAACTAGGAACTGGATTAACATACCTAAAAGCAACAAATGAATGATCTTTACAAAGTTAAAGTTTAATATGATAAAATAAACTCTTAACAATTACGGCAACGATAAGAATTTCCCTGCAAAATTTGAATTTGAATAACATTGTAACTTTTCAATGGTACTGTTCCGAATGATTACTTTTATAATCGTAACAAATAATTATATTAATTATATGACCCTCAAAAATGCTGTACAGAAATAAAATAACATTAATTGAGTTTTTAATATATATCGGTTTTTGACATTTTCTTATTTTTAATAAATACTGTGTTAACAACAAAAAAATATTCGTTTTTTGATTAAAATCGAACGAATAATCAATTTAAGTCCTGCCATTTTAAAAATAATAATCAAACTTCAAACATCAGCTGACAGGTGTATCGTTAAAATGACAAAAATAAGGAATCAACGCATGTAAAATTTTATTTGAGAAAACGACAGGAATCCCAAAACAAAAACATGACGAATCAAGAACCAACAGATTTAGATTGGATACAACTACGAAAAGATTTGGGTCCTGTCAACCAAGTTGAAACTACAAAGGAAAAATTTATACGAAAGTTCGGCGAAAATCCCTTTGTACCCCTAGGTATTTATTTTTAACGAAAATAATTAATACTAGTTTATATCACGAACATCGCCATTTATCGTTAATAATAATATTTTAAAGCCAACACATCTGCATATCATTTTATTTTTATTAAATAAATAATAATCATAATCATAAGAAACTATTAAATCGAGTATAAAGTCCACTATCAATTATTATGATACCAATTAATTTAATTCTTTTGTCACGCTTCATACAATTATATCTATATCGTATTTTAGTTTAATTTACTATTATCTGTTTTAAAAGTTATGCAATATTACTTGTTCAATATAATATATGTATTTTAGGTTGTCTAGCCACAGCGGGGGCTTTAACATATGGATTATGGTGTTTCCGTACCGGGAGGCCTAAACTATCACAGAGAATGATGCGTCTTAGAATAGCGGCACAGGGCTTCACCATCACGGCTTTGGTTGTTGGTGTCGCAATGACAGCAGGGAAATCATTGAAATAGCCACGTTAAATATAAAAACTCTACATATAGATATAGACATATATTTAGTATTATCTCATTTATTTAAATCCATTCATTTCCTGTTTTTATCTCAAATGATTGATATTACATAATATATTTTTAAAGAACAACACAGAAATGACTTAATTGATGTATTGAGATTAATTAAAACATCTACAGAAGTATCTTTGTACTGAATAAAGTTTAATAAAAGTTGATTACAAGACTGTTATTTCATTTTTTTCATATTAATTGTAGTTGACACACATTAGTCTTATTTGTGCTTTTCTATTTTGTTCCACTAATACTTCTTTGTTTGTTTTGTGTTTTGTTTTAATACTTACCATCACTTTATAAGGACAAAGACCCTCTTATACATCCAGAATCTATTTGCATATTAATTAATGATCTCTGATAGACTAAAACCTTTTTGAATTTTCCATATCTATACTAATATTATAAAGCTGAAGAGTTTATTTGTTTGAAAGCGCTAAGCTCCGAAACTACTGGTTCGAATTGAATATTTTTTTTTGTATTGGATAGTCCAGTTATCGAGAAAGGCTGTGGGCTATATAACATCATAACAATAGGAGCAAAGATATAGTGGTAAATGTGTAAAAAACGGGAGAAATTATTTCATCTTTGAAGTCTTCCGTTGCGTGCGCCGTGAAAATGATTCAAGATACACAAAAAAATGTATTAAAGAATAATAGCTCTTTTAATGATCTAAAAAACGGTCCGCGACAGTATATATGTCTCTCTTTTAAGATAATTAATTTGTATAAGTTGTATCAACATAATAATATTAATCTTTATTCAAATAAACAAATAAATATGTTGTTGGTTAAGAGTACTTCATTGTGAATAAAAAAAAACAAAGGTTTTATCCTGAAAATTCTACGGGAACTCGACCATTCCGAAAACCCCGCAAGAACGGGAACTATGTGGGAAGAACCAAAAATCTGCCGGAAGTCACTATTCCACGCGGACGAAGTCGCGGCAAAAGCTAATATTTTATGTCAGAACACAGTGAATATCTTCTAAGTATAAAAGGAATTGTTGAATAATTGAAATATAAAGTTGTAAGGACAATCAATCTATATAATTTATTTAAAAGGATTATTCAAATTATTATGATGTCCTTGACGTGGTTAGAAAAGAACTTCTTAAAACATTTGTTTGCTTACAAATCAATTATTAACGGAAAAGCTTTCAATATAAACAAAATAGTTTGGTTTTAGTATTACCTAGACTGTAAAACTGACGTTTTGAACCTTTTGTTATACTTATATATTTGGATACATTAAAAACAAAGCAGCTAAAACCTCAGATGTAAGTGATATTATCTGGAAGGAAAGATACGATTTTCCTAATCAAATTCAAAATTAGAAATATCCTGGTTGGCAAGCATTCGTCTAAGGCTAAAGAAATCTAAGATTACCTAAAATGATCCATAATAGATATGAAGACGAAGTCTTAAATTTTACTTTGAATTACCTAATTATCGTGTTTGTATACTACCCTCATCCAAGTTTTTTGTGTAAAAACTGAGTGAAACAATATAAAATGGTCAATGACCCCACCAGTAAATAGTAAAATCCGTACTTAGTTTACTAAAAAGGCCTACCACAAATCATTTGCAATTAATGCCTCAAGAAAATAATATATGTACTAATCGTATTTAAGTACGATGAAAATTTGAAAATAAACTGATAAAGGTATGCTTTATTATAACCGTTATACCGTCACAACCAAATCAATATAAGTCCGGTCAAATTAGACATTCAAAGTTATCTAAATTCCTACCAAGCTGAAAATAGGTAAGATTGTTTGAAATATCATTAAAGACAAAATTTGAATGTTCCCCATCTTTCCCCTGTAAGGAAAAAAATTTATTCCAGGTTAAAGGTAAACAAAATAAGTTTCTCGCGATTTTCAGCAAAACGGTAAGTTTTATCATAAAAATATCTCAGACAAAAATTGTAGACCATAAAATTATCTACAAACAATGAATGAATACTTTTTTTCCACGAGCCACCGTTTTTGAGTTATCACGATTCAAAAAGTTGTAATCGTCATTATATGCACACGTTTCCTCGCCACCTAGGAGGCGAGTACTTAGCTCGTTTTTTTGTAGTTTTCCTAGTAGGCCTATTCCACGGGACAGTTTTGATCTTGTTTAATTTGAAACTATTCAAAACTAATGGATACTAGCAGAGATTGAAAAGATAAAAGAAATTTAAGTTAAAAAAAGTAGTGAAATTTAATCGTCCGAGTCGTAACTTTCAAAACCTTCTTCTTGTTCTTCTTCATCTTCCTCCTGATGTAAACTGCGTTAATAGCGATGTATCGCATGTTGCCTCGTTGGAATCAAACGGATCCTCTTCTGTTGGTGATTCAATATTAGAGCACAACCGGCCTTGACAATGTGAACAATCTGGAGAACAGAACAGTCCGACTTTTTTGCAACCACATTTAGCCCGCCATGCCTTTTTGCAGCAAAAAATTAGGTTCAGCAGTTTTTTCAGCTGCAGCAGTTCGCAGGTGGAAGTAAAGTGTAAAAATATTTTAACATATATTACAACTATAGTGTATAGATATAATATATAGATACGTGGCGTACTCATGCATATTATGACGATTACAACTTTTACAACTTTTTGAATCGTTGTATCTCAGAAACGGTGTCTCGTAGAAAAAAAGTATTAATCAATTCTTTGTAGATAGTTTTATAATCAACATTTTTTGTCTGAGATATTTTTATGATAAAACTTACCGCTTTGCTGAAAATCGCGAAAAACTCATTTTTTTACCTTTGAACTTGAATAAAATTTTTTCGTTATAGGGGAAAGATGGGGAACTTTCAAATTTTGTTTTTAATGATATTTTAAACAATCTTACCAATTTCCAGCTTGGTGGAAATTTAGGTAACTTTACTCTTATTTTTGGTCAAATTAGACCGGACTACAAACCATAAATTTCAAATTTCCGATTATTTATATATTTTATTAATTATAATGTACAAATAAAACTGTTTTTCAGATTTACTACACGAGGTAACTGTTCTTTGATTACGTCACAGCAGTCGTGTTTTTGAGACACTGGATTATTTCAAACCTCATGTTAAAACCTCATAAAACATCTTTTTTTTAAATAATTTTTACTTTAAATTGTACTTTTTTTTCTATATGAACATGATATTCCGTATTCACGGATATCAAAAATACATCCCTTGTCTTTACTCTACTACGACTATACAATGGGCCACAACAATACAATTTGGTTTATAAATAAAAATTGAATTATTTTTGAACACCCAGAACGAAGCAAAACTCTTATAAAAATGAGATTAAGTATGAATTACTTTTATGTCATAAAATAAATATTTTATTCAGGGTCAAGCTTTTGAAAATTAATGCTTTTTTATAAATACATATGGTAAATGAAACAATTATTTGAAATAACACTGCAAACATTTACTTAATTTTGCCTATAGTAAACTAACACTGTAGTGTTTTCTTAATATGAGAAAATATCTATGATAAATTTTTTGTATTCCCGAGAACGAAATACTGAGCCTCAGTAAAGTATGTAGTAAGTAAACTAATGAAACTGAATTGACACACTTCATCCATCAAATTGACAGCTGAAACTGTTTTGTTTAATTGCGGGAGATAATATAGATGAGAAGTAGTTTTATTACTGGATATATTAAAATGAAAATAGACTTAACTTGGTTATAACAATGAATGGATTTATAGCTGTACATTGCGGTGAGTATTAAAAATAACTTTCACTAGATGGGGCAAAGTAATCATATGTATAATGCTAATTATAGGGGCTGGCTACCACAGCGATACTCTTAGGAAAGAATATCAAAGAACGTGTTATGCTGCATGCAGAAAAGCGGCTGAATCACTATCACAAGGCGGAAACGCTGTAGATGCAGTAGAAAAAGCGATCATAGGTATACCATTAGACATATTTACATTAAAAATAATGCGTTCGCGATTTATATATCTTTATTTCTTTCAGAACTTGAGAATAGTCCATTAACTAACGCTGGCTATGGTTCAAATTTGAGTTGGGATGGTTTAGTAGAGTGTGATGCTTCAATAATGAATGGTCAGACCCTGCATTTCGGTGCATGTGGTGCAGTTTCTAATGTTTGGAATCCAATAACCCTTGCCAAACAGCTGTGTATCAAGCAATGTGAAAACCTTTCTCTGGGGAGAGTTCCACCTTGTATTCTAACAGGACCGGGGGCTAAGATCTGGGCTGAAAGAATGGGATTACAGATAGTTGAAGAACAAAAAATGATATCTAGTCGAGCCTTTCGGAATTTCAAACACTGTAAGAGAAAGCTTAAAAGATATTCCGTACAGAACGATTTAAAGTTCAGCCCTTTAGATACTGTTGGGGCAATATGTGTTGATTCAAACGGCGTAGTAGCCTCTGGGGCTAGCTCGGGAGGTGTGTCGTTGAAGCATGAAGGAAGAGTTGGTCAAGCGGCTTCTTTTGGTAGTGGTGTTTGGGCAGTGATGAGTAGAGACGAATCGAAGCCGTCAATAGCTTCTTGCACTTCGGGATGCGGTGAACATCTCATTCGGACACAATTAGCTAAGAATTCAGCGGAAAGTCTGTTAGAATCTTCACCTATTTTGGGGCTTGATAGATGCTTGAAGGACAAATTTCTAAACTCACCATTTCTCTGGGATATTCCTGAGAGACTGGGAGGTACACTTGCTCTCAAATATAACTCTTTAACTGCAGAAGGTGAACTTCTTTGGGGCCACACAACAAAAACTATGTGCATCGGATACATGTCCACCGAAGTGGCGAAACCAAAGGTAAAAAATTACTCTCGTTTTTCCATTCATATCCATCATATATCATTTAATTCAAATTTTCGATGTTTACAAAAGAAATGTTTACCATGGTTTTTTATTTATATATCTTTAAAAAATTGTAAGTTAGCATTTTATGTGGATTTACTTCACCTATTGATTATTCTATATATTAATCAATATTTCACAATTCTGCAGAACGAGAATCTCTAAATATATAATATCCTTATATTTTCAGTGTGTTATATCATATTTGCCGCCGAAAGCTGAGTGCGGTCACAAGGCCGTTGTATCTGGAGTCCCGTTCAAATTAACAACACAGTGTCCAGTATTACAATGGGAAATTAAGACTGAACCTACAATTAATGGATCTCTTTGACATCAAATATTATATATAGAAAACTCAAACAATCTAAAATCTAGATGATTATAGTTCCAAATTTCACATATAAGTAATGAGAAACAATGTTACCATAACTCAGTAGAAATTAATGAACCGTATTGTATGTAAAAGTTTATTTGACAATCAATATACCAACTGTTCCTATAATGAGATTTTTATTTATACATTTACATGTAGAAAAGTGCAGGAAGGAATGTTAACAAATTGTACTATTGCAATGTTTCAGCAGTGGAGGATATATTAAAATAATATTGATATATGAACTTACATACCTATTTCATTTGTTATGGAAACCATTAAGTTACTTTGTATTGAACACCTTAAAAGAATATTATATTCACTTATACTATAAAAAAAGTACAAAGTAGCCTTTTAGCTAAATAGTATTCCCTGTCAGACAAATCTAAAACAGTCTATTAGGGTGTTAGAAACCATGAAAACTTGGTTGATTAATATTAAAAGATAATTTAATTATCACATTTATTAAGACATAAATTTCAATAACTTTGATTAAACGTACCTTTCCCTATTATATTAGAAATGCGAATGTAACTCTCTGAATTCTGAACCATGAAGAATTATATAGACTACCTTTTATCCTCATTCCTATATTACGCCGGTTATATTGAACACAAGATTTTTGTATTTAGATATCTACCCATAAATTAAATAATCAGAAAATAAAATATTTCATTCCGATTGCGATCCCAATACCGTCGCGGTCTTAAAACCACTCGGATACAACAACGTTATTTTTTTTACTTTTATCATAAAATTGAGACAGGATGTTAAGATATAATAAAATTTCATACGAACATATTCAATAATCATTATGAAATAAAGATAAAAACAATTTTTATTGTATTGGTCAGTTTTTTTCAATAAAAGTCTAGAATAGTTTTAATAGTTTATTGGGAAGAACTGTGCTATAATACGTAATTCGGTGAGAGGCTTTAACTACGTAGACATTACATTCAATAATGAGACATCTTAAATTGTTCATGATGTAGCGTTATATCTAAGTTAAATGAAGCACCATCATTAAGAACCCATCTATATGTCCTAGTCGTAAAACTTTAGAGGCAGTGCTTTGGAAATAAACCATGTACATACATATGTATTATGAAAATAAAGTAAATAATATTATAATGGATACATTGGTACTTCAATTGATCAGTCTATTAAAAATAAAATTAATGTTAAAAAAATATTATGTCATTGTTTGTCATCAATAAAAAATAAACATACGTACTGCAGTCTTAAATAATATATAAGAATTATATTTAGTAACCTATAATAATACATTGTAAATTAGTAATGAGCTATCTATTTGTACTAGGAAATTCAAACATTTTTATGCCGTTCTCAAAATATACCCTTTGCTCGTAATAAAGCGATGGTTACAAATTTAATTATAAGGTACACTGGGGGTTAATTTTGTTATAAAACATGTAAAAATTAAATTTATAATTCTATATAATAAAAAAAATAATTAATTGTACTATAAAAGTTATTAAGAAATTCACCATAAATCACTAGTTTCATACAATATTATGAATGATACCAACTATATAAGCTATCGGCAAGGCATCCATCATACAAAATATTCAATACTCCAATGTTCCCATACAAATTACACTAAGTTTATTATATTTACAAGCAATCGTTTAGCCTCAAATTGAGTTAATCTCATATAATTACCAATAGTAATATCACTTCATTGATAATTCAAATGTGAAATAAATGCAAATTAATACTGAATACACTATAAGTGTACATACAACTATGTTATATATTTGAATATATAAATATAAGGCAACCTTTAGTCGATTAATTTTCAAACGCACCCATATTCATACCAAATGGCAGTTTCTTTTGAGGATTCATTAATATCTTTACGGTTGATGGACTTATCTCTAGAAGCTTCTTTCTCTACTGTATTTTCTTCTGTGTTTCTAGAATGTTCCGGTACATTTCTATCATTTATTCTATCATTGTTACTTTGAGAGGCACCGTCTCCTATAACTGTTGATATTCTATTGTACACTAGATAAGTAGGATTTTCTTTGATTGGAGTGCTCTGAGGTTTACTATTCAGGTTTACTTCTGGGTTATCCTCGGCCAAGTAAACTGTTCTTCGGGTGCCTGCTGTCCCAAAAACTGGGGAGGGATTTGAAGCTGAAATGGAAACATATGATTAAAACTAAAATAAAATGTATAACATGAATAAAATATTATGATTTAAGGAGTTAGTAAACAATTTTTTTTCAATCAATCGTCAATCATTTAGGCCCCATTTATAAACTAATCTGGGTGTTAAAATTTACATTTCTAAATTTAATACAATGAAATTTAAATAGAATATTAATTAGTGGGATTATGGTGAGCAAAATATAACCAAAACCCGCTATTTTGTTATTAATAATTTCGAAGTTACTATGAAATATCAATCGCTTGAATATTTACCTGCTGGCAGGCTGGAATCGGCTTCCAATCCTTGAAAACTATTTCTATGTGTAGGCGGAACGGCTTTATGAGGTCGTCGTCTTAAAGAAGCCCTAATAAGGGCATCGTCACCACCTCCACTATGTATAGAGGCCGCTGAGAGTCTCCTTACAAAATTGCCTTCGTTCAACCTGGGGTCAAGACTATGAATAGATCCACTCATATCTATATTGTCCGATTTCTTAAATGTATCCTCAAAGCGTCTGTTGAAGCTTGAATCCACGCTATGTCTTGGGGATTCCACGCTAGGGTTTGAAGATCCTTGCTCGTAGTCTGAATGTTTGGATAATTTCTCTATATCTTGCCCGGGATCAGATTCCCCGGATTCTGATCCAGCAAGTGTTAGTTGTGATTTAGATCTGTTCGCGTCTTCTATCCTTTTGTTCCTGGACGGAACTTTATTGATCAAATCGGTACCGGCTTTTCGCACTCGTTTCACAAACGAAGCGCCGAAACCGCGCCTCTTTGTAGTGCAGTTGTCTAATTTTTTGTAATGTTCCATGATTTTTTCCTCTAGTTTTTCCTTTTGACGGCATAAAGCGTTCACTCTGTCGGCGAACATCTTTTCTTCTTCGTGGTAATGCTGTTTGTCTTTCAATGAATGTGCCAATAGTTCGTGATACTGCGTCAGGAGTTGTGACACATGGTCCATCAAGGACCGCCTGTCAGCGTCCAAGCTTTTGTTCATCTGTATGAGCATTTCACAGTGTTGGTTAGTTTTACTTATTTCTAATTCCATACTAGTTATAACTTCTACTTTCGTGTTTATTTCCCCAGACATTTCTGTGTTTCGTAACTTTAGTTGCGAGACTTCGCTTCTAAGGTTTCTATATTCTTCTTGCATGTTCCTGTATTCGTTTTTAAGTCTGTCGCTTGCTGTGAACAAATTCCTAAAGTCCTCCTTCAACTTGGAGTGTTCAGCTCTAAGATTTGTCAGATTTCTAGATTCTATCTTTAGATTTTCCCTCTCTAATTCAAAATCGGCTATTTTTTTCTCATATCCAGTTAGTTTTTCCTTGAGTTCTCTGTTCTCAAGTTTCAAATCTCTTATCGTGGCCTTAACGGGTTCCTTTTCACTGAGTAACATTTCATATTCCATGTTCAACTGTTCGTGTAATGTTTGTAGCGCGACTTGGTCTCGTAATAGATTATCTTGTTTATCTTTTAATACTTCCAATTGTTTCATGATTTCGTCTTTCTCTGCCGCCAATTGACTGTTGGCTAGCTGTAGTGTCATTTGTTGGGAGATTAGAGAGCCGTTTTGTGAGTTCAACGTCGCTATATTAACTTGTAACTTAGCGTTTTCAGCTTGACAATTCTCGAGCGACACTTGTAGGGCTGCCAAATCCACAGTCAATTGTTCGATCTGCGGATTAATAATGTTTTCGTCGATTTCCGGTTTTTCTGTATTATAACAATTACATGGTACCGATTTTGAGAAAATAGTCTTCGATGTTATTTCAGATATCAAAGCCTCGTGGTCAACGTTGGTTATTATTCTCTCTAACAAGTCCTCGACACTCACATCTTTTGATATAACATCAGATGTATTGATGCCGATCTTCTCCATACAATTTCTTAGTTTATCGAAGTTAACCTTCTCTAGAATAAGATCTTTCTGTAGCGTCTGTATAGTTTCCGTGTCAACTTTCTTATGTGACTTCAATTCCTGCGTCTTTTGCTCCAAGTCTTGTAACCTACTGCTTAGATTCTGATTGATCTCTATCTGTCTCGTAAATCTTTCTATTTCTTTGTTCTTCAATTCTATTTCGGTGCTTATTCTATCAATAATAACATCTTTCTCCTCGACCGCTTCACGTAATTTATTGACTTCTCTCTGTAAGTTGTGGCTTTCCTTCTCGCTGTACGTCAATTTAGTTTTTAATTCCTCTGTTTGTATGATCAATAAGGTCGCTTTTTCTGCTTCAGGTTTGATAGCATTCAGTTCTTTGGTTCTGGCGTCCAAAGTCCTTTCAAGATCGTCTGCTCTTCTTTGTATTGAGTCGCATAACATTTGCATCCTTTGCTTATCTTTGGTCAGTGATTCTAAATGATTTTCGAAGTCTTGTAATTTATTTTTCTCTGAATCTCTATCTATAGATTGTCTGTCTATAAAAGCTTTCTGACTGTCAATCGAATCTTGTAGTTTTCTGTTCTCTTCTAGCGCGTTCTTGAAAACTTCTTCTAGTTCAGAGTTCTGTTGCTTGAATCTGTTGCAATTTTCCTGTAACTGTTCGCATTTTAGAGTTAGTCTTTTCTTTTCTTTCTCTAAATCCAGAACTTTATCGCTTCCTTCTAGTAATGATTGTTCTCTTAAACTATCTATAGTTGATAGCAGCCGTTTATTTTCTAGTTCAAGTTTCAGCGCTCTAGCCTGAGCGTTGCTTGTCAATTGTTCTGAGAGACTATTTTCACCAGATTCCAAAGTATTCTCGCACTCATTGTCCGTATCCAAGTTACTATTGTTGCTTTCGCTCAAAACCGATCTAGTGATGTACTGCAAATGATTGTTCTCTTCAATTAATTCTTGTATCTTTTGTTGATCGGCGTCTCTTTCCTGGAAAAGAATTTGTTTTCATATCTACTGCGAATTTTATATCATAAGTTAAGATGAGAAAATTTATTAATGATTAGTATTAAATGTATTTAATTTCTCACCAAAGCGATATCATTGGCTTCTCTCTTGAGTTTTATCATAGCAGCTTCTAAAGATAGACATTGTTCCGCCCTCTTGCGCGCCCTCTGTAATTGTTCTTCTAGTGCATCCCTAGTTTCCATCAAAGCCTTATTATCTTCTCTCAGTTCTGTGACCCGCGTCTTATAATACTCCGCATCAGCCAATCGGTCTCTGTATCTCTGGATTTCTTGTTCCAACCTGTAATATATAAATAAATTATTTAAAATTAATATTTTCGAATCGCTTTCTGCAGACGAGATGTGATTCGCATTTCATCTGCCCGTAATCACGGTTGCAGCAAAGTAACCAAAACGACAGTAGTATGTAATTATTAAAGAGTAAAAATATTAGTTTAATTTAAATGAATTCAATTACTAAGAATACATGAACAAAGTGTCGCCTTAACAAAGACTAAGCACGTGTTACTGGACACATTCTTAGAACATATATTGATGTAGTAATTTAGGTAAAATTTATTCACTTATTAGCCAGTAGGCTAGATTGCAAATTGAATAAGTATTGTATACTTTATTAGAAAAGAAAAAATATGAATACTAGCGACTGTCTTAGATCTCATTATGTTTAAGTTCATATATGAAGTTTTTAATATATTTATAACTCGCTTTTTACCCACAGCTTCGCCCGCGTGGAGTTCGGTTATATCGCGTTTCCAAGAGAACCTTCCGAAAGTCTGGGATAAAAACTATCCTGTGTTCTTTCTCAAGGTCAACTCTATGTCTGTACCAAATTTCATTAAAATCAGTTCAGTGGTTTAGGCGTGAAAGCGTAACAGACAGACAGACAGAGTTACTTCCGCATTTATAATATTAGTAGGGATTATTCACCGATCACATCTATCAGCCTTTTCCCTCAAGGCGTCAACCTCATCTCTGTAGCCGGTAGCTTTCCTCGCCTCGTTAAACCACTCCTGGCTCTCTGTACGCAATTTAGCTAGAACTAATTTTGTATGTTCCAATTCTTCTCTACATTCGGATAACTGTTCTGATTTTTCTTCCCTGAAACCAAAAATATATATAATAAAAAAAAAATTAAATAGAAAATATAGGATAAAGTTTCGCCTACACGAGATTAATTTTAACCTGGGTCTTTTGTAATATTGTGTGTTACTGATTAAAGTTTTTGATATATTTATTGCCTGACATCTAAATAAACTTTATTCCTAGTATTTTCAAAACATTTTGAAGTTATAAATATAATTATACCAATAATATATATTTATAATGAATAAAACTCACAATTCCTGCCGTTGTTTCCTCAACCTTGCCTTCCAATCAGCCAATTCAACAGCCAAATGTTGACTTTCACCGTTATTCTGACTTATGTTCTGTGACGATCGATTCACATTCTTATTTTCATTCTCACTCTCACATAAATCCTCGTTAAGTACAAGAGTTGCCCAGTTCTGTAGATAATGATCTCTTTCTTTGGCCAATCTTCTCATATGATTGAACATCGTTGGAGATTGGAAGAGGTCTATTGCATCCGGAGTCAAAACTACTGTTTGCATGTCTGTTACCTGGTAAAATAAATATAAATTAAAAAAAAACTACAAAACATACTTGTAATTACTATTTATTTTGTATTTTTTAATACGATTTATCACACACTAGCTCTGTCCCATTCACTCTCATAAAGGATTTATGAAAAGAAAATATTAATACTCTCAGCCCTAACATGGATAATGGGAAATTGTTAATGAATTATTGCATTGTCATTGGTCCTTGAGATATATTCAAAGTTTCAAGTTAATCAGATGTTTAGAAAACGGTGAAAATCATGCTCAAAGATTCCGTTACATACATACAGCCCAAGCTAATATAAATGTGTATAAAACATTTAATGGTTATTTTGTATCTAAAAATATTATATTTGGAGCTACATGAAGTTATTTATATTTACAAATTACGAAAAATCTTAAACAAATGTCGCAAAGTAGTGTTAATTGATGTAGCAATGTTTTAAGTCAAGGTTTATTTCACAACAACCAAAATACTCAGATATCAGAATGCTTAAAGAATTGTAAAGACATATTTGAAATATTAAATCTGTGTTCATTAAACATATAATATTTTAGTATATTAGTATTGAAATCAAATGGCTTGAGTATCAATCAGGAATAAATTATTATATCACAATAATATATAAGAGATTTGAATAATGATGTAGGTACATTAATTACTTTACTATACATACATACATATATGGTTTGTAAGTTAATGTTTATGGCTTTGTCACATAGTTGATCAAGGTAACTATACTATTATGTTTCTTTGGATCCATATTGATATTTAATTTGAATCATCCCTACTACTATATAAATGCGAAAGTAACTCTGTCTGTTTGTTACGCTTTCACGCCTAAAGCACTGAACTGATTTTAATGAAATTTGGTACAGACATAGAGTTGACCTTGAGAAAGAACATAGGATAGTTTTCATCCCAGACTTTAGAAAGGTTCTCTTGGAAACGCGACATAACCGTACTCCAAGCGGGTGAAGCTGCGGGCGGAAAGCTAGTATATATGTTTGTTCATTGAAGAATTCTATAGTACACTGTGTTACTACAGTCCTTTGTGTTCCTAGCTGTATAATAGATTTTTATAATTGAGGGTCTTGTCAATATACCCCTATGATCCCACATGTTTAAAATCCCCTTTTTTATATGAATCATATATATACCTGTTTTATGCATTGCACAATGTTATGTTGTAAATCTACATCGAGTTCCTTGATCCTGGTGATGAATATCTCTTTGTTCGGACATTGAACGGCCGCACCCAGCAGCAATAGTACTAATAGCTTCATATTTTCAAGCCCCTGCTTTGTTTCCGGTGCTTTTCCCAGGCAAATACATTCCGGTACAACTAAAAGCGTCATCCCTAATTCCTCGTCATACAAATTTTTCAAGTTTTTTATGATGGCATCAAAATTTTTCACTCTTCCTAGTATAAGAGCTTGATCTTCAAGACCCGTCAGCTTTGTTATATGAAAGGAGGGCTCTGGGTCTATTTGGAGATACATGTGATATAAAATATCTCCATTGAACAAGGAGGAATACTCCTGTAATGTGTCCGGGTTGGGTATGCATGATTTGAGCTGAAAATTATAATATAATTAAATTACTAATATTTAATTAAAATTTATTATTTAAATATTTTTTATGTAAATATAAGTTGAAATCTAGATCAAATTTTTATTTTGTAAACAAGTTTAGAAATCAGGTTAACAGATTCCATTGTTTCTACTGATTCTTGTTCATAATTATTACTTGGTACATACTGATACAACTGTTATATTTTTGATGGGAAAAATATTATCACAGGCATTCAATACAAAAACATGTATATTTTCATTGTATGGAGATATCAGATATTGTTAAAGTCATAGTTTCTCTTGATAAGAAATGACTAAGAAGAAATTTAGTTAGCAGTATGTTTATTTTTAGCACAAATGTTTTGATCAACTTAGAATACTTAATGAAAGTTAAAAATTGTACATAAAGAGTATGTCTTTGATAAATCTTCGGCACATTTTTTTTGCAAAAAAACACGACAATTTAGGTTTAACCCAGTTAATAACGGATGATTGTTCACTCACCCACGAAACGAGAGGTCCGCTTAAGAAATCGTCAATCTCTGTAGCAGATGCGGCCATTCTAAACGAATGTTAAGACGAAGACGCTGCGAATCTTTGTCTCCGGCTACATAACATGGCATCAGAGTGGCAGGGAAGATGAAAACAATTTACAAATTTAAGCATCGGCAATTAAATACAAAGAAACCCCGTGTTATGTGCAAACACCGTAACACGATTTGACATTTTGGCAAAAATAATTATAACAAACCATAGACTACACATATACTACGAGGTATAGATAGTCGTTTATATTAACAGTAAAGCAAATATCTCATAACAATAGAAATATCTTCTAGAGTTTAATTTCGTTTTCCAATGTTTTTATCAATCAAAACTTTAGTAAAATAATATATTAATAATTTATAAACACTAATAAAGATTTTCGATTAACCTGATGACAGCATTACTTATAAAACTGCCAACATTATGAAACTGATAACGATCAACGGATAAAAAGTCAAAACAAATTAATATCGATTTGCTGAATATTTATAATTATATACACTTTACAATTTTGTATTAACCATAAAATGAAAGTTTAAACGATAATTGATTTACTTATTATACTGTAAAAAATTTAATTGTACAATAGACTAATGTAATTCAAGTATTGATTGTAAGTTGTAATTTATTATCAGCAACTTTAAAATTATGAATACTAAAAACGTTTAAGGAAATATCTTGAGACCTTAATATCTTCGAATGAAAATTTTGTACAGCAACATAATGTTTGGCAAATCAAATAAAGTAAAATTTCAAGATCAACAATTGGACGACTATGTGTTAGAGGTGTGTATGGATTTTAAATTAATAGTTTAAATATCTTCATTTATATGTTTATACTTAATAAACGCTATGAATGTACTTTTTAATTAATAAATTAATATTGTAATGCACCAATAAAATTAAATAGAATATAATCCAGCTCTCTACACAAATATTATTTGTCAGTAAAATTTAATATTATAAAAAAATGTTTCAGAATTCGGTACTTAAGAGTAAACTGCAAAGTAAAATAGATGCACTCTCCATAATGAGCAATGAACTTGATAAATGTTGTATGGAGAGAGATAGATACAAAATACTAGTCGAACAATTAAAATGTAAGAAACATATGCAAGTTAATAATAATCTTGATAGATTTGCACCAACCAACACAATCAGTGGCAGCGAAATATTAGCTAGGACAAAAGAAAGCAATAATATGCTTAAATTAGAGGTAAGTAATATTAATCCATTCTCGGAACATACTTCAACTGCAGCCCTAGTAGGTTCTTTTCAAATTTGGTTAGGTAGGGAGAGGAGCTTGGACAGTGGAGGTGAGCTTTTAACACTTTAGATAGGGACTCCTTGAACCTACACCTGGGTCGCAGTCCCAGTCACTGTTGAAGCTCCTCTCACTACAACGATGGACCCGACACATGCACCGTGAATACACGGAATAATGAAAAGTTATCTCTCATAATTCATACAAAATTTTTCATGAATTTGTATTATAAAATTTTCTTACTTGAAAAACCAATTACATCAATAGTATACTTTATTTTCAAGTTAAAAGATTTATATATTATTAAATAATATTAATATTATATTTCCTTTATTATTAACATTTATTGACAGCAAATTCTCTTAAATATTTGATTTTAAAAGTAGAGAATTTTTATTGTATATGTTTCAAATTGTTTTTTTTTTAGTATCACATTCCTGTTATATACTTAAAATATTTTTGGTTGTTATTACTAGATTCTGTAGTAAGATTTAAATTATTAATTATAAAATTATGATGAGACAAAAGTTCTTAGAATATTGTATGTATTAGTTTTAAATTTTATTTAGGTAGAAAGTTTAAAGAGTAAGCTTGAAGAAGCTAATGGTGATATATTAGCATTAAGGAAGGAATTACAGAAGATTGTTTTAGAAGAACACAATGGGAATAAGAAAACATGTACCGCCTTCTCTAAGACGGATTATGAAATACTTGTTCAGGATTTGGAAAAAGTTCAGAAAAAGGTACATAAATAAAGAATTTATTAAAAAATATAATAATTTAAGGCTTTATATGTATAAAGATTTGTCTGTATGTTTATTAAACTGGAAGTATATTTGAATATATGAAGAACTTTATATAAAAAGATTAAATGAAATAAATTAACTATTTATCTATGTATGTTAGTGTTATTAATTCGTACATTTTAATTTATATTTATTTGCAGTATCAACAGATACAACTAGATTACAGGACAACTTTGGATGAGAAAGAAGAATTAGTATCAGATCGTGATTATTACAAAAATAAAGTACAAAGATTGATCAGTCAGATCTTTAACAATAGTGTGAAGACAGATAATGAGAAATCTACACCGTTTGTGGATGTGGATGCTCTGTTAACAGAAAATAAATATCTTCATGAGAGAATAACACAACTACAGGTTGAGAAGGAAATTGTTAAAAGAACTCTTACTAAATACAAGGTGGGGTAAGATAAGATGTAGCAAACAGCTGAATGGCTCGCCCTATTAGCAGTCACTATTATTTATATTCATAACTATCTGGGTACATAATACAGTCCACTGCTCTGTAAAATTTTAAATATTATAGACAAACTATCTTTCCGCCCGCAGCTTCGCCCGCGTGGAGTTTGGTTATATCGCGTTTCCAAGAGAACCTTTCAAAAGTGTGGGATAAAAACTATCCTATGTTCTTTCTCAAGGTCAACTCTATCTCTGTTCTAAATTTCATTATTATCATTTCAGTGGTGTAGGCTTGAAAGCGTAACAGACATACAGACAGACAGAGTTACTTTCGCATTTATAATATTAGTAGGGATAAACCACCACAACGTTCACAATGGAGAAACGATTGCGAATTTTTCCGCACATTCAAAATTGAGCCTTATCGCCTCAAGGCGAATAATTTAAACTTTAATTATTACCCCATGTTCAAACATGGGGTAATAATTAAAGTTTAATTTAATTTTTTTCATCCATTATGTAACTATATGGTTTTCTATCTGTGGTAAGTTTTTTATAACAAAGGGCAAATGAATAGACAGCCTACCTGATGGAGGTAGTACCCTCGCCTTTGAACATCCAAAACATAGTTTTGCAGATGTGTTGCGACCCTTGATTGTGGTAGAGAGGGGAAAAGGTGGGAAAGGGTGGGAAAAGGGAAAAGCAATCAACTCTCTCACTCATTGGTCGAAACACACCCATTAAAGGCTACTTCACGCCGATCTTCTGTAAGAGGGTGGTACTTTTCCAGACAAGCCAGCCCATATTCGAGCTGTAGTAACTTGAACACATCTAGGCTCTATCGTCTACTTAATTTCAGATTATATATTATATTCAATGTGGTAAAATTCTTATATCCATCATTATATATTTTTTATAATTTTTTTCAGACCTTACTCGATAATAGGAACAAGAGTGAGCCGTATATCAAAAAAGGTTTCGCAGATGTCATGACACAGAAACAAGGTACGAAAACAAAATATGTATAAGTTTTAACCTTAACACGAGTTTGTATTGACTTAGATACTTCACGTTTAGAGTATTTCATTCATTAATCATAGTGATAGTGTTATGAAAGAAATACTAGACAAATTCGGTATAGTCCGTTAGACTCAAGCTGTGCTTTGCATTACTGTGAGTGAAAGTAAAAGTTGAGTTTGACAAAAAAGTTTTAGAATTCAATTTTATTAAATTTTAAATAGATACATAACATAACTGCTAGAGCTATTCTAGATTAAAAATAAAATAAGCAAAACTTGTAAAAAGCCAAATGGAAATACATATTATGGATTTTCCAATCACTATTAAACATTTTGAAAAAACAATAGAAATTTTTCTTCACTTGATATTGCGTTTTCAATATTTGACGTTACTATCAGTACAAAGGGTGAAGTGAGGAAGATGCGGGGCGGAGTAAAAACAATATAAACCAGTTCAAAACTAGAAAAGAACGTGGCGTTAAAAAAAAATTTACATCACATCTACACTATCCGTGTGCACTCACACAAATTCAAAGCTCAGCTTAAATCAAACCCACTATATTTACTTTGATATTTATATACCTAACTTATAATAATACATATTATAATATATAAAGGAACTCAAAGTATTTATAAATATTGTATCATTTGAATGTCTCATAATATTTCTTATTTCAGTCAGAGAGTATCTGGACATCAATTCTAAGACCGGTTTGAAGAGAGGCTCAGCTCAAGAGTTGAAGCGACTTTGTTTGGGATTGTTTGAAGCATTGAATGACAAGTCGATAGCTTTACAACATCAAAGGAAAACTAACCAGTAGGTATTAGAGTAAAGATAGGTATATTCTTAGAAACCAAGATTAGGATTGACTTCTTAAAAAATATTTGATACAATTTCAGTTTTAATTTATTAAATTTACTCGAAACTTAAAACTATTTTAAATTAATAAATATCAATTATCTCGATTAAAAGTTATCGTGAAATGAAATCTGAATATAATACAAGCGAAAGATCTACACACACTCCAAAAAATTTACGATCGATTAATCTATCACAGTAACGCGTGTTAAGAATGAAAGAGTTTTGATCTCCTCTAACAACTGCTTATATGTCGTTCGAATGTCTCCTTCCTCTTATTCTTAAAATTTTTATACACTTTCTCTAATATATAGGTATACAGGGTGACTGGTGAATTACTATCGATGCTTGAGGACGTGATATCTGACGATCATGTATGACAAAATAAAAGTTAATATAACATAAATATTAATAAACTTCTAAGTAAAGTTAACCAAAAGTTATGTAAGTAATTACGCATCGTGTGAACACCCTAAAGATTAGGTATACACACACGCACACACACACGTGTGGCGGCGTAGTGTTGTATCAGCACGCCGCCGCACGCGTCCACGCTTGGAACACTTGGAACGTGTCCACGCTTTATTTATTTATACGGAAATTTGGTCAAAAATTAAGTACCTATTTTTTTTACATAATTCGAATGAGAATCATGTACCGAGTATTCTCCTTAAATATTGATAGTAATTCACCAGTCACCCTGTATATATACAATAGTACATACCTATATATTTATAAGAAAAAGTATTCCTTATATGTAAGGAATTGTTAGGTTGTTAATAAATTTTTAACCATTAAATACAGTGTAAACTCTATATAACGACACTCGATTTAACGACAAACTCCCTAAAGCGTCGAAATCATTTGACTTTGGTTGGTTTCGCTTGTCTACCATACAATGCTACACTCTACATAGCGGCACACACACTCTCAATAACGACAACAATTAAGTAATAAAAAGTACCTTTTAAGTTGCTAAAATTAGTAAAAACTGTGGAGCTGTGTACGTTCCTTTGTCGCTTTGTTATCCTAGCCCGCAATAAACTCGACTGTCCCTATCATCCATACCGAACTTTCTAAGAAATTCGTTCTTTTGTTTACAATTACAAATTGATTACACGTGTCGACGGTTTTTGACCATAAGTAGGAGTCTTGTATTACCTATACGTTAACATAAAAAGTTGCTCACAAAATCTCAAACTATAACATTCTTTTTATGTACATAAGTACTAACACTAGTCTGAAATAAACTTTGTCTTTTTCTAATTCTGATTTTTCTTCTTTCTATTTAACGGCAACTCTCTATAACGCACTAAAATGCACTGTCCCTTCAGTGTCGTTATATAGAGTTTACACTGTATGTCAATGTTACAGAATTCTGGCAAACCGAATAACAGAATTGGAGAAAACTTTAGAAAGTTGGTGCAATGGACAGAAATTCGTTCCTATATTCCCATCACAGATGCTATTAGAAGAACTGAACGATACTAGCTCCACCAAATCAGACGAATCTAGAGGACGTACTGCGAAAGATTCAGAAAACAACAGAAATAAAATAAAATACACAGACAGCGAGGAAGAAATAAATGACAGTAAAGAAAATATACAAGAAATGACTTATTATGATGGTGATACTAGAAAGTTGACTCAGAAAACTGTTCTTCCAAAGGAACTGCAGGACTTGGTGATGGAAGCAGCTAAGGAAATTAAGATGAATCAGAAATAATCATCTTTTTATGATGAATATACCAAAAATGTATATTAAGTTATATAAAACTCATTCCATATATAATACATACCAAAGATCTACCAAAAATATTTCTAGTCGTTTATCAAAGTACTTAATTTTTGTATCATTTTATGTTGTTGAAATAAAATTAACTTTTTATTATCAGTCTTTTATTTATTACCAAAAAAATAATCATAAAACTTATATATTTGATGTATCTCTATGATGGCATACAAAGTTTTTTTTACAAGCTATGTAAATAAATTTTTATATATGTCCAAATAATTTGGGGGTAACTTTAAATCATTTTGGTTAGATTATTATATTAATCATTAAATAATAGATTTATTAAATATAATTAATATACATAAGCGAATCACAACATTTTTAAATACATTTAGAATTTATAATTTCTTCTTAAAGGATATGATTCATAAATTGTCTTAGTGTACACTTGCCTAATGTAAGTACTATTTACACATTATAACTAGTTTCCAACCGCGGCTTCGCTTCACCTAATTTTATAAATACTTATATAATGACTCGGTGTTGTATAAAGCAGTACAATGATAAGTATTAATCAAGCGACAACAGAGACATACAAATTGTTATACATTTTAAATCATCTAGATTACCAAAGGTACTAAAAATAATTAAAAAAACATTAATTTCAAGCTTGGCTGTATTGAAAAAATTATATTACCTGATATGAAAATGATCATAGTCATTCAAAGCAAATCATAGCCATATGCACTCGATCATAGCCATATGAACCCGATCATAGCCATATGAACCCGATCATAGTCATATGAACATAGCAACCGATCATAGCTAAATAAACTTTATTAAAATACGGATTCCTTTGGATATGTTATTTATTAGGCGAGTGCTGTGTAGTGGTCTAGTAGCGCGGCCGAGTGTTGTGTGAGTGTAGCAGCGTCGCTACGAGCCCGCGCGTAGCTCGCTGCTACGCGGACCAGTTTGTTGAGCAAGGTTTTGTGGGTCTTTTCGTTGTAGCGCTCGTAGCTCTCAAGACCTTCTTGTAACTTTAGTATCAAACTGTCGTAGTTCTTACGGACGACTTCTAGTATCTGTAATGTATTTGGTTTGATGTGTTTATAAGTATATTTTAAATGTTTATTCATATTTAAAAAATTTACAACATTAGAGCTGATATGGTATGTATCATATAATATAATTCTATACATATAGAAAAGTTTTTCTCAAGCTTTAAATATAATAATGATTTACATTATCATTTATAAGTAGATAAAAACATGGATGGCATATAAGTAGACATTTATCTACTTTATTGTGTTATTTAAAGGTGTGTGTGTGCGTGTGTGTGTGTGTGTGTGTACCTGGTCCTCGGTGGGTGTGGAGAGATGCTGCGAGGCGAGCCAGGCGTCTATCTTGGGTGAGAAGTGTTGCACGATGGCCCTCACATTCACCAGACAGTTGGCGAGGCGGAGAGCCTCTGCCTTGAACTCTCCGTCACCCGTGGAGTAGCGGAGAGCTTATATAGTAACAGAGAGATTATTACGACTCAATTATTATTATGGATAGTTCAGAATGGTACATGCATTTTGAGGAAGACAGAGATAAAGCTTGCACTCTTCTGTCATAAGACCAAGAAGTTTCATTCATTTCTTTTTATATTCCCACAACAACATTCTGTGTATGAAAATTTGATTTGAAATATCTGTCATGGAATCGTCTTTTGTTTTATATTGTTATAAGTAAACATATAATACTCATATTGGTGGTATCAGCAGAATGTTAAGAAGTTTCTTACTAAACTATAAAGTATTTCAGTGACACAATTTACATCTGTCATACATCATATAAAGAGTAACTAATTTTGAAGTATATAAAAGGTTTTATATATAATTATGATATGACTAAAATAGTAGAAATATGATGATCTTACCCATAAAGAAGAGGTTGTCAAATACTAGATTCATTCTGATAAGTTCATAATACAGTTGGTCGTATGACGCCGGGGTGGGCAGAAATGTGTCACCAAATGTTATGAACAGATTGAAAATATTCACCACCTGATATAAAAATATATAAATTATAATCATTTAAAATATATTTAAATAAGTAATACTACTTACTAGTAGCTAAAACCAAATAATTTGCTTAGTTTTTAATATTTTTTTAATATCAATCCATCATATTAAATCTTATAATGACATTCACAAACTATATGGTTTCATATATGTTTATATGTGATTTCGACGCTCTAGAGAGTTTGTCGTTAAATCGAGTTACGTTACATGAAGTTTACACTGTATATACAGGGTGACTGGTGAATTACTATCGATACTTGAGGACGTGATATTTGACGATCATATATGACAAAATAAAAATTAATATAACATAAATATTAATAAACTTCTAAGTAAAGTTAACCAAAAGTTATGTAATTAATTACGCATCGTGTGAACACCCTACAGATTAGGTATACACACACACGCGTGCGGCGGCGTAGTGTTGTGTCAGCACGCCGCCGCACGCGTCCACACTTGGAACACTTGGAACGTGTCCACACATTATTTATTTATACGGAAATTTGGTCAAAAATTAAGTACCTATTTTTTTTACATAATTCGAATGAGAATCATGTACCGAGTATTCTCCTTAAATATTGATAGTAATTCACCAGTCACCCTGTATATTTGGTTTCATATATGTATGTTACAATGTATATTTTCTCTAAAGATTTTTTACCTGTTGGGCCATAATGAATATATTATGTTTCCTGAGCAGTACGCTCTCATTGGTGACTAGAAACTTGAGCAAAGCAATGAGCGCCGCCCACAATGGGCGCCAGTCTCTTGACAATCTGACGCGACAACGCTTCTGATAACTTAACAGACGGAGTAAAACGCCCACACATAGAGAATATAGGTCACCAGGGAACTTTTTAAGAAGGTGACACATGATGAACTCGATTAATAGATCTGGGAAATGGAAATGTTCATTATCCTTACTAATATTATAAATGCGAAAGTAACTCTGTCTGTCTGTTACGCTTTTACGCCTAAACCACTATATCATACATTATAATTAAAAAGAATAAGAGTTTATTGTTTCAATTTATGTTCTGGGAATCGTAAATTATAGAATACTAGGTTTCCGCCCGCAGCTTCGGCCGCGTGGAGTTCGGTTATATCGCGTTTCCAAGAGAACTTTTCAAAAGTCTGAGATAAAAACTATCCTATGTTCATTCTAAAGGTCAACTCTCTCTGTACCAAATTTCATTAAAATCAGTTTAGTGGTTTAGGCGTGAAAGCGTAACAGACAGACAGAGTTACTTTCGCATTTATAATATTAAGTAGGTATATCATTCATTATAATTAACAAGAATAAGAGTTTATTGTTTTAATTTTTGTTCTGGACATTCTAAATTATATTATATGATTATGTATCAATTGAAAACCGTTATAAAACTATTGTATGTTGAATGAAAATATTAATAAGAACCTATGCGCATCAGCTGTCATTTAGCAATGTATTTTGTGTGAACTATTTTATAATTTAACAAATTAATCGTTACATAAAATTATTGAAGAAAGAAGTATTAATTTTAGACAAATTATGCAGAAAAATTTTCTTTTCAATAAGTTATTACATCAAAAATCTAACAGTTTAATTAAAACTGTTTTGAAAAATTCTACATTTCAATGTTTATTCAAATTAGAATCACAATATTAAAAAAATCAATTATGTATTATGGGAGGGCATAAGTAATTTGTCAATAAGAAATTTAACGAAAAAGATATTTTTGTTATGCTTATTATTACTTTTACTTTTTCTAATATCTAGTATATCATATCAGCAACAAATTATATTTAGAACCATCTTTTCACTCAATGACTGATCTATATAACACATAAAAAAAGTATTGTTCAGAAACCGAAGAGATTACCGTCTGTACGTTTATATTTGAAAAAGCATTTAACGAGAAAAATTTGTCCTAAGTAACTAAATTTGTCTTCTAAGTAACTAAATACCTATAAAATGTAAACATGAACATATCTATTCGTAACTTCATCGAGGATATGTTCCTTCCTCTCGCACTTACGGAAGACTTTCAGTGTGCCTGGCCAGGTAAAAGCACCATCGAAACTGCCTGGCTACTGAGTAAATATAATTTAATACTTTCCTCAGTAATATACATAAAAATCAGTTTATATATGTACTATAACGAAAGTATAAATAAAATTACTTATAATTTAGGGATGCCTGGCTGGGTTTCCCACCTTACTAAGTGCCCGGCAATTTACAGCGTGATTTCTAATATTATTACGATGAAAATATATCAAAACTGAATTTTGTACTAAGAGGAAAGTGAAAGAAAATTTTATACACCTTTAGAACGTGTTACCTGCCAAAGCCACCGCGACCCAAATTTCATAGGTGGGGATCGTGACTACCTATATTGGGTACATCTATAGAAAAACTTTCAGCTTTTGTAAATCAACGAATGCCTGGCTGGCCCTGGCTCTTGCTCTAACAGATTCCAAGTTAGTATGTCGAGTGTCACATATAAACTTGTAACATTCCTTATATAAATAATATTATATATACCCTAACCTATGAGTGTGGAGGCCAGTGGTTGTGAAGGCGGTTCTTCTGGAACTATTTTTCTATGACGCATTGGTAGACGATATAGCTGCACCTGGAATACAGAAATTTAATCTTTATATATATAATTCTTCTGTGAGTGTGTACTGAACTTCTCTCAAACGACTAGACCGATTTTAATGAAATTTTTTGTGTGTGTTCAAGGGGATCTGGGAATGGTTTAGAGTCACAATTTTGTCCGTTGGACAATGTATTTTTAATTAATTTTTAATTTATTAGTAGTTGTTGATACAACCGTTTTTTTTGACATTAGATTTGTCAACTAACTAATATGTCAATCATTCTGTCGAACTTCATAACACGGAGATTTATGGCTTTAATAGGTAAACTCCCAAAATATAAATAAAAAAACGTAGAAAGATATTTCTTGTTTAAAGGGCGATACGAAGTTCGCCGGGTCTTCTAGTTAATATACAACGTGTATAAACGTAATTAACGCACACCCTCAAACACCCCAATTAGAATATAATAATATAAACGCAAGGCATACACCAAGTATTATTTATGTGTGCGTTAGCATTTTTTATTTGTGAAATTATTAGGTGTACAACTTTGCTTCCGCCGTTTTTTTCCGAAATTCGAGGCTTTATTGTAAAAAACTGGTTATACATTTATGATTCAAAGTATTGTCCATCGCTGGCCACTACTTTCTCCCATCTTTCGGGCAGCGTACGAATCCCGCGTTGAAAAAACTGGTCATCTTTTGAAGCGATCCACAAATAGATCCAATTTTTAACTTCTTCATACGACCGGAAGTGCTGGTCAGCCAGGCCGTGTGCCATTGATCGAAACAAGTGATAGTCCGAGGGAGCAACGTCTGGAGAATACGGCGGGTGGGGTAGGACTTCCCATTTCAACGTTTCCAAGTATGTCTTGACCACTTTCGCAACATGGGGTCGAGCATTGTCGTGCTGTAAAATCACTTCATCATGTATCTCGTTGTATTGCGGCCGTTTGTCTTTCAATGCTCGGCTCAAACGCATTAATTTAGTTCGATAACTATCGCCTGTGATTGTTTCAGTCGGTTTTAACAACTCATAATGCACTACGCCGAGCTGGTCCCACCAAATACAGAGCATATCTTGGAACCGTGAATATTCGGTTTGGCCGTCGACGTGGAAGCATGGCCGGGATATCCCCATAATTTTCTGCGATTGGGATTATCGTAATGAACCCATTTTTCGTCCCCAGTCACAATACGATGCAGAAATCCTTTTCGTCTTTGCCTTGCAAGCAGCTATTCACAAGCAAACAAACGCTGTTCAACATCTCTCGGCTTCAACTCGTACGGCACCCAATTTCCTGGTTTCTGAATCATTCCCATGACTTTCAGGCGTTTTGAAATGGCTTGTTGCATCACTCCCAATGATCCTGCCAATTCTTGTTGCGTTTGACACGAGTCTTGATCAAGTAATGCCTCCAATTCTGCATCTTCGAAAATCTTCTCTCTTCCACCGCCATGCCGGTCTTCGACGTCAAAATCACCGTTCTTGAAGCGTTGAAACCACTCTCGGCACGTTCTTTCACTAATAGCAGCCTCACCATAGGTATTTGAGAGCATTCGATGAGCCTCAGCCGCAGATTTCTTCATATTAAAGCAGAAAATTAAAACCTCCCGCAAATGACGAGAATTTGGCTCGTAAGCTGACATGTTTAATCGAGAATAACTTTATGATGCAGACACAAAGCGGCTAATATTTCGATGGCGTTATGTTTACAAGTTCCTAAGCTTATTGTATGACATCTACGATCTATTTATTTCGACTAGCACTTACAGCTACAACCATCTATTGCAAAACGGCGGAAGCAAAGTTGTACACCTATGTAGTTATCCCAATTTCGTGCAAATAATATGGTCAGCTATTCACCAACACTCCGCTGCACACGCACACACAGACAGACACAATGTACTCGCCGCGTCCGCGCCCCTCTCACCGAGTGCCGTCCGACAATAATAAGTACATAGTAGGTAATAATAAGTACACGAAATAACTACATTATGATTTATCAGGCTTAAGATTGTCGACATTGAATTTTTTTTTTACTGTGAAGCCAATATTTTGTTATTACTGATTTGTTAAATTAAACTTGTGAATAAGAATTATTAAACAGCTGATAACGCGTGATTTGATTAGACACCACAATACCTACGACCAGTGGCGGCTGGTGGGATATCGAACTGGTGGTGCACTTTACTAAAATATTAAAATTAGAAAATGCAACAAAAAATAAATTGAGATAAAATGTTTATTTTTTTTACATTAATAAATGCAACGACATTTTTCCGAAGCCAAATGTTCAATCACCTATTTATTAAAATCGGGTATTGTTTGTATATATTTTTTTATTCAATACTAAGCACAGAAAGTGCATTTAGCAACTGCAAGGTATTTCGGAGAAAAGTTTTGATTCTTTTCAATTCCAATTCGTCATATATCGGGTGCTCTCGGTAATCTTCAGCCGCTCGTGCGGCGCTCGAGAACCGACTCGTTACTCGGTACATTTCTATGAACTATCTTTTGTTTCACGCGTCAGGCGTATTACGGTACGGACGTACACTTGAAAGCTATAACGACAGGCTCAACCGTTTCGGACTGCAAACGCTTGAAATGCGTCGCAATTGTAACAGCTTAGTGTATTTGCACAAAATTATTCACGGTGTCGTTGATTCACCCACGCTTCTAGGCTCCATAAATATAAACATCAACTTTAAATTCCGACACCCCAAAACATTTAGCCTGGATGTTTATAATAACAATATCTCGTATCACAATCCTATCGGACGTATGTGTCGCGCTTACAATAGGGTCTCTCTTGAGGACGACGGGTTGGATGGTATCGACGTTTTCAACAGAAACCTAAAGCTATTTAAAAAACGATTGGTTTCGGTTAACAGCCAGGAATAGTGATCGAATCTATATTATTAATTTTTTATTTTTCATTATTTTTCATTTGTAAGTGTGTTGTGTTACGTATTTTTGAGTGCTGATGTGTTTTTTTTTTTTTTTTTTTATTATAAGTGAGATACTTTGTATATAATCTGTGTTCGCATAATTGTTGGATTGCAACTCAGTTCATTTATAATATTTACTCATTAATTATTCGCTTATTTAGTTGTAATCTGTTGTGTGAACCGTTCAAAATAAATAAATAAATAAATATTATTTCGTATCTCATACAAGATGTATTAGCAGACCTCGTGCACTCGCCGAAGCGCACGATATGAGTTTAGCAAAACGCTCAAACTTTTCGACTATAATTAGAAATTTAATTTTTAATACGTTTTTGTATGTTTAGAAAATAAATATTAAAATGGTAATTTAAAAATAAAGATGAAGTAATATTTTGTAATTTTTAAATCTTTTGGATTGGTGGTTCAGCGCACGAGTGCACTTAAGGTACAGCCGCCACTGCCTACGACTAAGTCGGCGTGTTTAAATGGTGTGAATCAAAATATTAACAATAATTTAAAGATCATAAACAAACTTACAGTTTAATATGCACTCGCACGGCGTTGTCGTTTTAAAACATTTTCAAAATGTCCACCGCCTTGTTCAATGCACTTTAATGACCGTTTCCGCAATTGTGGTTTTATTTTAGATAATACTGCAGTATTACTTTTCACTTTTACAAATCTAATATCTTTTTTTAAAAATATCTTATTTTTTAGTTCCTCGAAACTTGTTGTCTCTGTGTTATAGACTAGCGATTTAATTTGCCCCCACAAAAAAAGTCGAGTGGCGTCAAATCAAACCGTCGACCTTGAAAATTGTTAAAACTATTGTGTTTGGCTTTAACTTATATATTAATAATTTTTTTTGAATACCATATCTTGAAAATGATGGAGCTAGTATAAATAAAGTACATACATAGTATTTATTGAGTAATCTTTTACATCTTACACAAAAAGAAAAATATAATTTTTTTTACGTGTCATAGACAAACACCAAATAATGTTAACTGTTTTTTTTTATTTTAAAACACAACAAAACTATTATCAAGAAGAGAACCTAAACGTCGTTTCTTTTCTTACAGGTTGGTATTGCAAACTTTTTATTGTGAATCTAATATAGATTGTAGTCTTTATAGATCTAATGATAAAATGTTTTGTTACAGAGAACTCATGAATCATTTAATACTGAATTGATTGTGTCGTCTAAATCACGATATTATATATATATTATATAGTTACTGTAGCATCCCTGGTCCTACATGTAAGTATAACTAGTCACTGTCTCACTACTACCCCGTCTAGAGCGACGCACGTCCCCGTTCTGCTCCGCGCTAGTCATTAGACTGCCGAGCGCATGCCACCCCCTCCAGTGGGGTACGTGGGACAGTGTATTATATCTATTGTATAGATACATACACTACAACTACGTTACCTTAAAAGTCAAATTCTGATCATGCATTATAGAATTAGCGAATTGTTCTTCCACTATGCATGTGAGTGTGATGAAACATAGACTGCACTTGTTGATACTCGTCTCAGTGCGAGTGTCCGCCATCACTATTGAACTGGAATATATATTAAAATATAATCATTAACATACATACATACTATTATAATGTAAATTAAAGAAAATTAAAAAATAACAATAATATATAAAATGCAATTTTGTAAGTAAGCTATATTGTTACGTTTAAAACAGCGTTTCGCAAAGTGTGGATAATGCCCCATAGAGGGCGCTTTGGGCCTAAAGGGACGGTAAGAAACTCAAAAAAAAAATGGCGGCGTTGTGTACTGTCTAATATACAAGACAATAATTAATTAATTAAATATGGAGTTATAGTGATTTTTCAGTAGGTGAAAGAATGGGGGCGCTCAAAAATAATTTATTCTCAAAGTGGGCTGAAACAAAATAAGTTTGGAAACCCCTGATTCAAAATTGTTGGAACTAGTATAAACCAAACTATGTAAATTGTCTCAGTTGTCTAAATAGCCCACTAGGGGAGCCACATTTTATGACGCAAAATGTTGTTTTATACTATGGTTGTTTTATACTCTCTCTTATGTCAACTGTTTTAAACTGTGTGTTATCATGTTAATAAATCTCAGTATATCAATTTAATCCATTCTTATTTTCGCCCAATTCCATCAAAAATAACCCCAACAAAATTTCCAGTAACAATTTTAAGTCAATACATCTTAAAACATAGTTGTAATAATTTAAATAACTATATTAACTTAATATGTATATGGTTAGTAAATATGAAAAATCTTTATGATAATAATAATATGTATAAACATTAAAAAACTTTTGCTTTTCTAATTCAAAAAGATCAAATGTTCTAAATATATATTTTTTGTTTATGTACATTATGTCATATCATAACTCACCAATATTGAAAGAATGTCACCAGTAAATTGATAGGCTGGTCGTTATTGAGAGCTTGGATCTGAGCGAGGTTCGGTGGACTCTGGAATAAGGAAAAATATTGTAAAATAACACGATGATATTATAAATAATAATGTTTTCTCGTATAAATCAAGTTTAAATTTATATAGTAACTGAAATTTATTATATGGTTTAAGATACTTTATTTTCTCAAAAAGAAATCACATTTCACTTACTTGAGGAAATTATGACTATAAACATATTTTGAGTTTAAACTTCGACAATCATAATAATTAATAAATGTATCACTCGGTAGTTTAACATATTCTTACAATAAATTTTGCTTTAAACAAGTTATTATACTGAAACAGTTTCACGATAACGGCGAAAAAGAGATGAAAGTGAACTTCAAAAAAGGCTTTTATCTGAAGAATTATCTTTATATTTATTTGTGATGATGTTATATAAGAATAATAATTAATATCTACCCTTATCGGTAATTGTATAACACTATACATCTGATTTACTTGGCACATTTCGTCTAATTGTTTTTTATTTCTGTCAATATAAAGAACACTCGCATCTCGTGTAGAGGCGTGTTATGTGAAAAATGTAGTTATTATCTAATATATAAAATTTCCATGTCACAATTTAAGTTACCTTAGTCTTACCGACTTCTACCAAATTTTATAGGTCTGAGAATCAACTACTATCTATTTGCCATACCCCTTAGTGATAAGGATTGTTAATCTCGAAATTTTTATTTTTGTCGAATTTATTTGTTTATTTTTTTTATATTGTGGCATTAAAACTACATGCAACCTAAAATTTTTACTTTTTTTATCACCAACTCATAATTTTATATTTCAAAACAACGTTTGCCGGGTTAAATGTGTACATAGAATATATATATCTTTATACATATATATAATTCTTCTGTGAGTGTGTATGTCACTGAATTTCTCTCAAACGACTGGACCGATTTTGATGAAATTTTGTGTGCGTGTTCAAGGGGATCTGGGAATTGTTTAGATTCACAATTTTGTCCGCTGGACAATTTTTTTTAAATTAATTTTTAATTTATTAGTAGTTGTTGATACAAACGTTTTTTTGTCATTAGATTTGACAACTAACTAATATATCAATCATTCTGTCGCACTTCAAAACCCGGAGATTTATGGCTTTAATAGGTAAACTCCAAAAAATATAAATAAAAAAACGTAACAGATATTTCTTGATTATAGGGCGATACGAAGTTCGCCGGGTCTTCTAGTATATATATTTTATGTACCTGTCTGGGAGGCAGCGTAGCAGGCGGTGAGGGGGGCGCGGATGCTGCCGACGAGTGAGCCAGCGTCGTCATGAAGTTACGGTTGAGATGAGCAGCGGCGAACAGACCGAGCAGCATGCCCTCCTCTGTACCGCTGAAACGTTATACAGAGTGATACGACTATAACACATATAATAATAACATTATATACAGGATGATGACGTGACCACGACAAATATACACATAATATGAACATTACTATGCCAATATCCTACTAATATTATAATTGCGAAAGTTTGTGAGTGTGTGGGTATATTTGTTACTTCTTCACGCTCAAATGGCTGAACAGATTTTGATAAAATTTTGTATACAGGAAGCTGACGTCCAGGAATAACACATAGGCTACTTTACATCCCGGAAATCCGCGGGTAACACCGCGGGGCGCAGCTAGTATGTTCTAAGTGTTTAATTGAAACTAATATTTTTCAGATTACTACGCGTTATTACTATTTTTAGTGCATACTCCCGACGTTTCGGTTACTTGGGATCAACCGCGATTACGAAGACGAGATGAGAACGCGTAGTAAACCGAAAATATTAGTTTCATTTATGTAAATACTCGCAAGAGTCTCAGATCTCATTATATTATAAGTGTTCCTTAGTTAATTTTTTTTTCATCCTCTGTTATTATACAGGGTGACTGGTGAATTACTATCAATATTTAAGGAGCATACTCGGTACATGATTCTTATTCGAATTATGTAAAAAAAATAGGTACTTAACTTTTGACCAAATTTCCGTATAAATAAATAAAGTATGGGCACGTTCCAAGTGTTCCAAGTGTGGACGCGTGCGGCGGCGTGTTGATACAACACTACGCCCCGCTCGCGCGTGTGTGTGTATGTGTGTATACCTAATCTGTAGGGTGTTCACACGATGCGTAATTAATTACACAACTTTTGGTTAACTTTACTTAGAAGTTTATTAATATTTATGTTATATTAATTTTTATTTTGTCATATATGATCGTCAAATATCACGTCCTCAAGTATCGATAGTAATTCACCAGTCACCCTGTATATTCTTTATTATTATACCTCCTTATTACTTAATACCGTAATTTTACATTACTTAGGATAGTCAGTAAGTTTTTTGTTAGATAGCCCAGTTATCTTGGGTGGTTTTAATGAAAGAATTTATTCAATCGGATCACCAATTTCTATTATAGGGCCGTATGTTAAAACAGGCTACAATTTATATTGAAATTTTTGTTAACCACCGTACATCACGGTATAATAGCTGTATAATGTCTAAAGTCAGCAACAGACAATAGATGTCGCTGTTTATTAGTCACCATATCCCTACAAATATTATAAATGGGAAAGTAACTCTGTCTGTTTGTAACGCTTTCACGTCTAAACCACAGAACTGATTTTAATGAAATTTGGTACAGACATAGAGCTTGAGAAAGAACATAGGATAGTTTTTATCGCAGACTTTCGAAAGGTTCTCTTGGAAACGCGATATAACCGAGCTCCACGCAGGCGAAGCTGCGGACGGAAAGCTAGTAATACATATACAAACCTCTGTCTTTGTCCTCTAACAACAGGTTGTGTGTCGTCAGTGGTGAGGAATATTCCACCGACCATACTAGTGAGTGAAGACAGCCAACCTCCACCGCCGGCCTGCATACCACCGAATGTAGTCATCACGAAGTCATTCAACGCAGCCGTTATTACTTGGCCGTAACTGAAAATTATTTGGAAATATTCAATACAAGTTTTTCTGACGTATAAAGAATGATTTATGTATGAGAATAAGCAATGTCATATGTATATATAAATTTTCCTAACGTTTTTTTAGCATTATTTAAGTATATATGGAATAAATTTTTCTCTTAATTTATTTACTACAAATAAGATTGTTTAGACTCTAAAACAAATCAAAAAAGTTAAATAAGTAAGGTATAAAATATATTGTTATTAAGAAGTAATTGAAATATTAACTTGATTTATTTAGAATTAAGTATTGTTGTATATGTTACACTTGCTTTAAGTTGGTATGTCCCTTAATTATATTTAGTTCAGTCTTGGTTCTTACAATATATAGCTATATAACGAATAGCATATATATAGTTTTATTGGAACCAACTACGAAATATTATTTAAAACATAAAGAACTAAAAGAAATGTAATTTTTTAGTATTACCATATAATAAAAAAATTTATTCCACAGATATAAAATGGATGCAACAACAGACAAACAAAACAGTTGTCATAAAAAATGGATAGTTAAAAATCTTACCCATTCAAAGCACATTCATCATCCAATATGGAAAGTTTAACGACATAAGGATTAGCCGATTCCTGTTTCTTATAATTCACAAGAAACATCACGAGTAGTACCACATCATAACCTTAAAGGTTATATAAATTTATATTAAATAAGCACAAATTTAAAAAAAATTAATGTCTGTATGTGTCATTAGAATAAGTGACTCTGACAATATACTGGAATATGTATACATACAGGGTGACTGGTGAATTACTATCGATACTTGAGGACGTGATATTTGACGATCATATATGACAAAATAAAAATTAATATAACATAAATATTAAATATTAATAAACTTCTAAGTAAAGTTAACCAAAAGTTATGTAATTAATTACGCATCGTGTGAACACCCTACAGATTAGGTATACACACACACACACACACACACACACACTTGCGCGCGGCGGCGTGGTTTTGTATCAGCACGCCGCCGCACGCGTCCACACTTGGAACGTGTCCACACTTTATTTATTTATACGGAAATTTGGTCAAAAATTAAGTACCTATTTTTTTTTACATAATTCGAATGAGAATCATGTACCGAGTATTCTCCTTAAATATTGATAGTAATTCACCAGTCAACCTGTATAATAAAATAACATAAATCTATGGAAATTCTGCTGGGGCTTTAATTGACAGATAGTTTATTTAATGAGTGAAATATGTCAGGAATTGTGTTTATTTTTATAAATATGAATAATAATAGTATTTAGTAACTGTTCTAAGACAAGGGGGCATTTTTTCTATTACGTAAGACGATTTAGCCCGGCCATATCTTATTTATTCTAACAAGGAGTTGGGAGGGAGTTTTGGTAGTTCTTATGTAAATGATAAACGCGCAATTTAAAGATTTTCAGATGTATGATTATAAGATGAATGATTAAAACCCAAGTTTATTACTAACAAAATAAAACAATTGGTAGCATCTTCATAAGTACAAATAACCATTACCAAAAATAGTTTTTAAGAAAAAAATATTTTTAGATTCTTACGTAATAAAAATTAATTAATTAATAAGACAGGAAATTGGGGAAAAATTATGTTATTTTTTTGAAATAAAAGTGAAGGAGTGAAAAACTAGCGAATATAGTCTTGAAGATGAGTAACTAATTTACAATAAAATTAAATTTTTAAGCAAATGTTTTTAATAACTGATTCATTGTAATAGATAAAATATATTTGAGATGTATCTGAGTTTTAGTTAGAATAGGCTTGGGAGTCGCTGCGCGTCAGCCGTCGAAGGCGGACGTGTCGTTCGATCGCGTCGCGTCCGTGACTAATGTTCGTAACATTCAAGGTTATCTGTCGTGTCGTGTTTTAAAAACGCTCTGACTGTGTTTGTGTTATATGCCCAAGGTCAACTGACTTTAGACTTTGATGTCTGTGACGGGCGGAGTTGATGTGGTGACTGAGATGGACAGTGATGGGGCTTCACCCGCAAAGATTGTGGGTGGCTCCATGTTGGACAAAGGCTATGGAATAAAGGATTACCGAGTACGTGTGCCGAGGTTGTCGGATTCGGAAATGTCTGACTGTAGCGTGCGGACAGCGGAGTCACTTTCGGACAGTCGGCTGTGGAGGAAAAGGTCCGCCGGGAGTGCGCTCAACTCTCCCGAGACGGCGGAAGAGACGGCCACTGAGGCGAGCGTCGCTCCAATCAAAGGAGCGGCGCACAAATCAAAAAGAGGGCGGGGAAGGCCTCCTTCTACTGGCCAATACGTTGGCTTACACCGTGCCAAAGTAGAGCTGGCCAGGGCCCAAGAGAAAGAGGCGAGACTCCAAGCAGTGGCCTGCTCCACGCGAGGAAGCGGAAAGCGGGATGAGGAGATCAAGCTCTTGCGAGAAGAGAACGCTGAGCTACGCAAGCGTCTGGAGGAGATGGACGCAACGATTGCCCAACTTGTTCAAAGCATTAAAGCTTCTACTCAGGAGTTCGATGAAGACAGAGTTGTCCGTAAGGTTGTGGAAGCATTGGGCCGTGCGAATGTACCAGAGCTCCGGCTCAGGCCTCCGCTAGCTAGTGATGGAAGAAGGACGGCGGTGACGGCCACTACCTCGACGGCTCCTGGACCTCTGGCTCCAGCACTGCCGGCTGTAGCGGGGGAAAAGGGCCATTCAAAGAAGGTCCGCAAGAAGGCATCTATGGCCGCAACTGAGGCTGCACTGGGATCATCGCTAAAGCCCGTAGACGCGTCTCCGTCAACAGAAGCCCCGGAGAAGAACAAAGCTCCGTCTTGGAGCCAGGTGGTTAGAAAGAAGAGCGCCCCAAAACCAAAAACGGCGCCACCACCCCCCAAGAAGAAGACGGTGAAGATCAAACCGCCGAAGACTGCGGCGGTCGCTATCACCATCCTCTCGGAGGCAGGAGAAAACGCCACCTATGAGGCGGTGCTGAGGGAGGCACGCCAACGCGTAGATGTCCAGGCGCTGGGTCTTGGGCCCTTAAAATGGAGGAAAGCGCAGACCGGGGCTCGGATATTTGAGATCGGTGGGGAGGGCTCTGCTGCGAAGGCAGACCTCTTCGCTGAAAAGCTCAGGGAGGTAGTGAATCCCGAGGCAGTGAAGATCCACCGCCCAGTGATGCGCACTTCAATCCGAGTCGCTGGTCTGGACGAGTCCGTTACTCAGGCTGAGGTAGTGGCAACGGTTGCTCAGGTGGGCGGCTGCCCCGCCGAGCTTATCGTTGCAGGTTCCCTCTCAGCGTCGGGCGCTATCCTGCTGGGAGTCCCAGCGGCAGCCGCCAAAAAAGTGGTTGACGCGGGCCGGATCATCGTCGGATGGAGTTCCGCTCGCATTTCAGCAATGGCACCGGTGGCTCGGAAATGTTTCCGGTGCCTGGCGACCGGACACTTAGCGGCCATGTGCAAGGTCGCCCAGGGAGTTCCCCGGGGCCACTGCTATCGCTGCGGACAGCCGGGTCATTTCGCACGGGATTGCAAAAACGATCCGAACTGTGCGGCGTGTACCGCACTAGAAAAACCAGCCACACACGTGGCCGGATCCGAAGGGTGCTGCCTCAAAGCCCAGACAGCGAAAAAGGGCAGTGGGGGGGCAAGGCTCCCTAAGCCCTCCAGCAGAGGAGACATGGATACATCCTAATCCATGGATCTAGAAATACTGCAAGCGAACGTAAACCACTGCGCCAGGGCCCAGGATCTTTTTGTCCAGACCATGGCGGAGTGGCAAACACAGATCGCAGTGGTCGCTGAGCCATACGTCGTGCCCCCTCGGGATGACTGGGTTGGGGATACGGAGGGACTAGTGGCCATCGTCGCATCGCGAGTCAACGGAGCCCCTCCTCTGATATTTACAGCCAGGGGCCGAGGTTATGTGATGGTTAGCGTGGGCGGCACTGCAGTAGTGGGGGTGTACTGCTCCCCTAACGAGGGCTTTACTGCTTTTCAGCAAGTTCTTGTTGAGGTGGGAGCTCTAGTCAACAGAGTGCACCCTTGCCCCGTGCTAGTCGCCGGGGATTTCAACGCCAAATCTCGAGCGTGGGGATCTGCGGTGACGAACGCACGGGGAAATTTACTGGAGGAGTGGGTATAAGCCTCGGTTTGGAGGTCCTCAACAGGGGAAGCGAGTTGACGTGTGTACGTCACAATGGAGGGTCGGTGGTTGACGTCACATTCGCCTCTGCCCCCCTGGCGCGCCGTATCGCAGATTGGACAGTGGTGGTTGACGCTGAAACCCTGTCGGATCACCGCTATATCCGATTCAGGGTGGCCGCGTCTTCTACGTCACAAGTCGGAGCTTCCCCTACTGGAGATGGAAGAAAATGGGTGCTGGGAAAACTGGACATTTCCCTGGCCAAAGAAGCGGCCATCGTGGAAGAGTGGTCCAGGAGGTTATCGTCCGACAACCTGGATCACGAAGTTGACGTGTTCTGCGGTGCGCTGGTCCGTATATGCGAAGCCTCGATGCCGAAAGCGCGTCCGGTCACCCCACGGCACCGGGTGTACTGGTGGCGAGACGAACTCCGCGATTTGCGTCGAGCGTGTGTCACCGCCCGCCGTCGCCATGCCCGCGCCAGGCGTAGGAGCGTACGGGACGTTCAGAGAGAGGACGTCCTATACGAGGAGTACCGGGCTGCACGCAAGGCTCTGCGGATGGGGATCAGCGCTGCCAAGGAGGCGGCCTGGAACGAGTGGCTAGAGTCACTGGATCGGGATCCGTGGGGGCGGCCCTACAAGGTCATCAGGGCCAAATCCAGGCCTTGGACCCAGCCGATCACGACCACTCTTCAGCCACAGTTCCTGGAGGAGGTGGTGGAGGCGTTGTTTCCTCGAAGGGAGCCTTGGACGCCTCCAGCTATGGCTGATAACTCGCCAAACGAGTCCGGTAGTCCGGCGGTATCCGAGGAGGAACTGTGTCGTGCGCGTGCAAAGCTGCGGAGCAAGAGGACCGCCCCGGGCTTGGACGGAGTTCCCGGTCGGGTGGTGAACATAGCGTCTGAGGCAATGGAGGCATGGATACGTGAGGTGTTCTCCATGTGCCTGGACCGAGGCCGGTTTCCGGCTTGTTGGAAGGTGGGGAAACTGGTCCTACTACGGAAACCAGGCCGGGACGAGGGCCTACCGTCGGCATATCGGCCGATTGTGCTCCTGGACGAGGCGGGTAAGCTCTTTGAGCGAGTGCTCGCGGCTCGTCTCGTCCAGTCGATGAGCAGAAGTCTGCACGAGACCCAGTTCGGCTTCAGAGAGGGCCGGTCGACGGTCGACGCAATCCTGCGTGTCAGGTCGCTCGCTGAGGAGGCTGTGTCTCAGGGTGGGGTGTTGCTAGCGGTATCGCTAGACATCTCCAACGCCTTCAACACACTTCCCTGGGAGACAATACTTGCAGGCCTGAGGTGGCACGGGGTGCCCGAGTACCTGCAGGTCGTAGTGGCGGACTATTTTGTGGGCCGCAAAATAGTATACCCCACGCAGGGGGGCCGTTGGGTCTATAAGGCGATGTCATGCGGTGTTCCACAGGGGTCTGTCCTAGGCCCCCTCTTGTGGAACATCGGCTACGATTGGGTGTTACGGGGAGCTAATGTTCCCGGTGTCTGCGTGACTTGTTACGCAGACGACACCCTGGTCACGGCTTACGGTTCATCTTATCGAGAGGCGTCAATCGTCGCAACAGCGGGTGTGGCTCAAGTCGTGCGACGGATTCGTACCCTGGGATTGGAGGTGGCTCTTGACAAGTGCGAGGCCATTTCCTTCCACGGTCCTCGGAGGGGACCGCCGAGGGGAGCGTGTATTGTGGTCGGAGGAACTTTTATCTCTGTTCAGCCCTGGCTGAAGTACCTAGGGCTGGTCCTCGACAGTCGATGGACGTTCGGCGAGCATTTCCGGCGACTGGAGCCCAAGTTGGTCGCGGCGGCTGGCGCGTTGGGGCGCCTGCTTCCGAACGTCGGTGGTCCCAGTGTGGCATGTCGTAGACTCTACACTGGGGTCGTTAGATCGATGGCACTGTACGGTGCGCCTGTATGGGCCCGGTCTCTCGGCCCGCGAACGACAGCCTACCTCCGCCGTCCGCAGCGTATCTTGGCGCGACGGGTGGCGCGGGCGTACCGTACAGTGTCTTTTGAGGGGGCCTGCGTGCTGGCCAGCACGCCACCGTGGTACCTGGAGGCCGATGCGTTGTCGGCTGTCTATCACCGGCGCGCGGAGGCTCGCAGCCATGACGGAGGAGTTGCGTCCGGGTCGGTCGCCGAATGGAGAAGGGATGCGGCGGCCAACGTTCTACGTAGATGGGGTGAGCGACTGGCTTCTCCGACGGCCAGTTATGAACTGGCCACCGCTGTCAGGCCTGTTCTTTGCGAGTGGGTGGGTCGCACGTTTGGCCCACTGACCTACCGCCTGTCACAGCTGCTGTCGGGACACGGATGTTTCGGCAGGTATCTGTGGCGGGTGGTGGGCAGGGAAGAAAGCCCCGCCTGCCATCACTGCGGGGGTGGCGTGGAGGACTCGGCGCAGCATACTCGCGAGTCATGCCCAGCGTGGGACAGCCTTCGCGCTGCTTTGACTACGGTCATAGGGAGGGACCTCTCGTTGCCGGCTATAATCTCGGCTATGGTCGGCAGCGAGGAGGCATGGGAGGCGGTGGCCGCTTTTGCCGAAGCGGTCATCAGCGCGAAGGAGGCAGCGGAGCGGGCCAGGGAGAGCAACCCGGAGGCCCCTGCCCTCCGTCGTCGGCGAATTGGTCGCCGGCGCCGAGCCTATCTGGCCTCTTTACAGCCATAGGTTAAGCGCCGGGCGACGTGATCCTGGGTGGCAGACGGGGACTTCTGTCGCCCGTTGATAGGATCAGTGCGGTGCTAGCCCCTCTTGTTCCGGGGGCGGCTCGCGGTGGTGGTCTGCGGGGGGATTTGTCCCCCCTAGTTCGAGGTCCGGAGTGGACAAGCGCCGGCAGGGTCGCGAGGCAAGCTCGTGATATACCGTGGCCCTGCCTAGGTGGCGTGGTTGAGGAACACCCAGGGGTTTTAGTGGGTCGAAACCCCACATAACCCGGTCAAGTCCCCGCTTGGCCGGGTATCTGTGAACAGATTTCCCCTGGGAAAACAAAAAAAAAAAAAAAAAAATAGGCTTGAGTTGGTTTATATTTTAACATCAACATATCCATTTTAGGCAGTCCATTTGAAATATAAATCACTTATATAGAATAAAAATATAGTTTTTACGTTAAAATTATAGATATATATCCAAAGTTAATTAATTACTATTTATTGTTGAAACATACCATGGTGCTGTCTTTCCGATGATGTGCACAAAAGTTGTATGAGAGGATCAAACAATGGATGTAACATCAGGTATTCTACGAGTGGATTGTCATCAATATTATCAAAACCTGTTGCTATTATCAGCAGTAACTTTAAAACCATAGACTTCAAACTGTCGGGAACATCACCTAGAATAGAAAAAGGTTTTACATCAAATAAGTTTACTCCCGAAAATAAAATATTTATTTATATTTTTAATGTAATTGGTTAAATCAATGAATATTCAGAAATAATCCTAGTTACTAATATATATTTAGAAATGTTAGACTACATTGAGAGGTAATTATCCCTACTAATATTATAAATGCGAAAGTAACTCTGTCTGTCTGTCTGTCTGTTATGCTTTCACGCCTAAACCACTGAACTGATATTAATGAAATTTGGTACATAGATAGAGTTAACCTTAAGAAAGAACATAGGATAGTTTTTATGCCAGATTTTTGAAAGCTTCTCTTGGAAACACGATATAACCGAACTCCACGCGGGCGAAGCTGTGGGCGGAAAGCTAGTATAATTATATGTATAAATAGATACCTGATAACACTGAACTACAATGTTCTAGAAGCTTCTGCATTTTTATATTTGGATTATCACCCAGAAGAACTTGTTTTAAGTTTATACTTGGATCTTGACTAGCTCTTTGGTACATTGTAGTTAATATGACACTGAAAGTCTGGAGGGCATACACTAATCTGGAAAATTATTAATATTCTTAAGGACCTTTAATATATAATAATTACGAAAGTTATTAACTTTTTCTTGTTACCTTATATGATGTTCCTGTCCTTGCATTTCTATACATTGAGAAACTAAAAGATTTATATTATCTTTCAAGTTATTTAGTTGATCTACAGTCAGTTTCTGGATCTCAGCTTCTAACTGTGGGATTTTAGGCTTGAGGAGGAAGAACTCGTCCCAAAATGTTGGATTATCACTGGTTAAATCATCTCCTTTGAAAAATGATTCATATATTTGTACAACCTTCTCTTTTAGATGCCTCTTTGAGCCAGATCCACTCCTTTTCCGCATAGACATGGTGAAGTAGCTATCTCGAAGAAGCTACTATAATTATGAGACTGCTTATCTTATTAAAAAGCTATAGATGTTTGATAATTAAACTTTCACATAAATTTTCACACCGGCCTGGTTTACACAGTTATAAACTTAACTAGAGTTAGAAGCTTTAGAATCATTAAATATAATTATTTTATGAAACCGTCAAATGATTTCTTAATTATTTTAAAGTATTGTTTCTATTATAGTACAGCTGACAGGAATAGTGTTAAGTGTACACATTTAATAGACATGACAGATTCATATGGCACTTTCAAGTTTTGACAGTTGTATATGGAAAATATATTTTAAAGTTATAATTTTGACCAACAAATCATTATTACAATTTAAAACTATGATATAATAAAAAATATCAGGTTTATAAGAATAATAAGGCTTATTTTGAAAATAAAAGTTTCCAAGTGTACCATTTAGTATAGCAACACAAGCAAAAAGTATATTTGACATAAGTCGTGTTAATTTTCAGTCTTCACCATAGATAATACGCATATAATCCTCAGTTTCGCGTGTTTTGTTAAAAATACCAACATATAAAGTTTTGTTTTCCTTTTTGAGATAATACTTTCTTCAACATGAAATCCAAAAAGCGTCACCACAATTCATCTGATGAGTCCGAAGACTCTGATGGAAGTGTACAATCGAGTAGTTCGTCAGATAGTGATAGTGATGATTCTTCGGTGTCGGAAACCCGCTATAAGAAAAAACGAAAACGTGCTAACAACTCTTCCGAATCCGAAAGCAATTCTGATGACCAAAAGCGATCCAAGAAACGTAAGCATAAGAAGAAGAAGAAGAAACATGGCAAGAAGAAGAGGCGATCGCATTCTTTAGAAGACGTTACCGACGATAATATTTCTATAAGCGAGGGTGAAATATCTGTGAAAAAAAAGCGGAAGCATAAACATAAGCACTCGAAACGGTCACAGAGTTCTGGAAGTGAAGGTAAATTTGTTGTTTAATTTGGGTTTTTTATAATGTTACTCTTTAGTCATTATTCAATTCATAATTTATACATTCAGATGAGTTGGAGCGGCATAGTGATCGGCGGCTAATGAGTGTAGTTAAGGAAAGACGTGGATCTTCAGATGAGGGTAGTCAACCTTCTCGCACTTACTATCAGTGAGTATTTAATTTAATATTAGTCTAGCCGAGAGAGCACAAAATGTTGAAAAGTCTCAATCTATAAACATATACAAACTGAACAAATAAAATGCTATATCCTTTGATCATGAAATTAAGAGCATACCTGTCTAGGGTCAACTTAACATTTAAAAAAAAAAATATTTCCGGATTTATTTCACCTTATTCATTTTGATCTCGTCACCACTAATCATGATTGTTACACAGTGAGTCAACTTAATGTTTAAATAAAACTAATATTTTTGGATTTATTTCGCCTTGTCCATTTTGATCTCATCTCTGATCATGTTGGCTGCACAGTAACAGAAACATCAGGAGTATGTAGATATAAATACTTAATGACTCCAAAATTGATGACTTATTGAATACTCGCAAATCCAAATGACTTATTGAATACTCGCAAAAGTCTCACATCTCATCAACTTGTTTTGTTATAAAGACAAATCAGTTGATATTATGTCAACAAAATTTATGTTTTATTTTTTCTACATGTGTAATACTCTCTCTATGTCATATTTATATAATTAAAGTTTGTTGTATGTATTTTTATATTGAGAAATTTAGTTGAATTACACCACAATGTATACCGATCTTTTGTTTATAGATACTTTTAACTTTCATATCACTCAAAATAAAGTATGAACAATAGGTATTATTTATTTCCACCATGTAGCACAGTATAATTGGATTACAATGTTATCTCATTGTGACATATAGAATAATTATTTTAATTCTGAATGTGGACACTAATTGTTAAAGATTCTGTCATAGAATGTAATTATTATCATATTGGTCATAGTTATGCCAACATATATACCAACAATTACAAAGATCAGCATGAATTTTGACTTTGAATTTTCACATTAAGTATGAAATATCTATAGATTTATCAAAAAAATTGCTTTTGTATTCAAAAAAACAGTTTATCTTCATTGAAAAATCTTAGCTTAACTTAATGTTTTTAAAAATTCAAATGTAACATTTTATGTAGGTATTTTATAAAATTTTAATAGATAACAAATTATAAAATGTTAGCAATAAGTTTAAAAGTGACCCCTACTACATTTTCTTTTGTGTTCATAAGAACTTTGTTATTAAACTCCAAGTGCAGTCCTTATGATATTTTCATTACATTTAAAGTTGTAACAGTGTTTTAGGTCCATGATGGCTTGATGAAAGAGTTGCTTTTGTTCCTTAGAAAAGTTTCATGTTGTTTTTATACTTTACTAGTTTTCCGCCCGCAGCTTCGCCCGCGTGGAGTTCGGTTATATCGTGTTCCCAAGAGAACCTTTAAAAAATCTGGGATAAAAACTATCCTATGTTCTTTCTCAAGATCAACTCTATCTCTGTTCCAAATTTCATTAAAATCAGTTCAGTGGTTTAGGCGTGAAAGCGTAACAGACAGACAGACAGACAGTTACTTTCACATTTATAATATTAGTAGGGATTAGTAGGGACTAGATGGGTATACAGAGTATATACTTTTAAAGACATTCATAGATTTAAAATCTAAAAGCTTTTGTATTTTATCCAGTTTTATTAAATCGATTTTGTTGTATAATAGTGGCATTGATAAATTATCAGGGTCGGCAATAGGTTTCCAAATATAACATTTAATTTTAGTGGCTTTGACTATTGAATATTGATGATCATTCACTCTTCTATCCTATAAAGAGAGATAACATTAATAATTTGTATATTCATCATGTACTCCAATAAAAAATCCTGCCTTCTAAAAATCTTCAATGAATTTCGAATTAAATTCGTTTTATTTCAAAGTTTCTACAAATATAGTAATTTTAAAAGATAAAAAGAATCTATTGTCACATTTACCACTAAGGCAAAAGTTTTTCAAAAATATTTGTGTGTGTTTCTTAATAAGTGCATAGAAAAATGACAAAATAAATTTTAGTATGAAGAATTTTTTTATTATTTTGATATACTATCTAATTTTATATTATTTAAGTTATAAAGAAGTACACATTAATTTAAGATTAATTTAAAAAATTTATAATAGTTTTAATTTATTTCTTTAGGAAAGTTTCAGTAAATAAGTGATTTGTATTAAAATGTTGCAATTTCACTTCTATGAACCATTTTTCTATGTTAAAGAAAATATGAAAAGGTTCATTGCATTAAAAATATTAGAAGTTTGCAAGACTTATAACTATAGTAATCATGTCAATTTTAATTAAGAAAATATCAATTTTCGTTACCATATTTGGAAAATAATATTTCACATACTTGAGATTGAATATTAATTTCCAAATTATTTGTTCCTAAACATTTGTTCCTATTTTCATAAAACTTTATCCTTGTCTGCCCAAGTTATCAAAACATCGGGAAAATTTAGAAATAATACAATAAATATTGTGTACTATACGAAAAGTTTACTTTAACTTAAATGAGTATTATTGTAAAGAATTACCCTATTTTCACAAATATACGTCTTGTAATTAATAAGCTTTAAGTGAATGACAGGAATGTTCTCAATATGAAATATAACATTTTTCTATATATCTTTAAAATTTAAACAAATTCCACAATACTTTCTTTTGCCTAAGTTAGTATAAAAATTATATTATGTATTTTAAATGAAGTCAATTTGTTACAGGAAAGAATATCACGGTTCAATGCATCCTAAAGAGTATGATATTGAGCCAGATTCACAAAAGTATTACAAGGAACCCATGAGGGAACATGGCTATCAAGATTACCAAGATTATAGGGACAGAAGTGACAGGTACATATAAAAAATATATGTAAAAATATATCAATGTGACAAATGTCTAAATGACACAAGAGAAGAATTTTATTTAATAAATTCTAGATGGCAAAGATATAAAACTTTCAATTTGTTTACGTTATTTAACTTTTGGAGTCCATCTTAGTAATGGAAAAGTTTTAAATACTATTCATTTATATATAGAGGACTTTGTCTAAATATCATAAATTTATTATTTTTTTATGTAAAAATTATGGACTATTGTGTATATATAGTGTGTTATTCTTTTAAATCAACAGATATCAAGATGACAATCGTCAAAGGGAGAAATATGGCCACAGTTCACAAAATGCTGATTATGGAGGACAGAGAGAATATAATGTCTATAAAAGGTTTTATATCTATGATGTATTTATATGTGATAAATAAAGTAGTACAGTCTGAATCAAATTAAAATGATTGTTTATTCATATAGACCATCGAAATACGAGTCTAGACCGGACGAAGTCTATAGAAAAGAAAGAGATGATGCATATGCTCCCAAGGAAGATATGAGAGGTAAGAAATTATTATAATTCATACAATTGATAACATTATTATGGACCTCTGAATAAATTGATGATGAATAAACTGCAATAAAAAAATATGGCTTAAACTATATGTATATATAATATACCAAGCTTTTTAAATGGTCTGTTTTGTCTATTTCCTAGCAATAAGACATGTATTTATATGTTTTCAGGTCATCCGAAATATCCTCAGAGGTATGATGAGAGGCCACCAAAGAGATTTGATGACAACCGTGATTACCGTGACAGGTAGAATATATTACAATATATATTACACTAGTGCTAGCGACTTCGTCCCCGTGGAATGTTTATTTTGGTCATCATATTTATCTTCGAAATCGACCTAATCAGCTTTATAAATTACAGCTGTTGCTCACGACTTCGTCCGCGTCAATTTCTGTTATTATTGTTGATAATTTATTTTAAAGAACTTTTGAGCCGCGTTCCGTAGACCTCGTAAATCAGTAATGCATTAATTTCGACCAAATTTGATTACCATAAAGACGGTTCTAGTGAGATAATCTTAAAAGATAAACATATACTGTTGCGGACATTTTTTTTAGATCATTTCAAGAGAAATAATTCTTTCATCCATATTTTTTTGGTATCTTAAACCGTTTTAGCAGCGCACTCAACGGAAGCACTCAAAGATGAATAATTTTCACCGTTTTTTAAACATTTTTCTTTGTTTCTTCGCTCCTATTAGTCGCAGAGAGATGTTGTAGCCTAAAACCTTCCTCGATAAATGTTGTATTCAATACAAAAATAATTTTTCAGTTCTTCCCAGTAGTTCCTGGGATTAACGATTTTAAACAAACAAACTCTTCAGCTTTATAATATTAGTATAGACTAGCTTTTGCCGCGACTCCCGTCCGCGTGGAGTAGTGACTTCCGGCAGATTTTTGGTTCTTCTCACATAGTTCTCGTAGAGTTTTCAGGATAAAACCTATGTTTTTTTTAATTCACAATGAAGTACTCTTAACCAACAACATATTTATTTGTTTATTTGAATAAAGATTTTATAAAGTTATTTTGACCAAATTAGGTACCATAAAAACGGTTTTTGTGAGTTAATCTTAAAAGATAGACATATACTATCGCGGACTGTTTTTTAGATCATTAAAAGAGCTATTATTCTTTAATACATATTTTTTGTGTATCTTGAACCGTTTTCACGGCGCACGCAACGGAAGTCTTCAAAAATAAAATAATTTCTCCCGTTTTAAACACATTTCTTTGTTCCTATTGATCGTAGCGTGATGTTATATAGCCCAAAGCCTACCTCGATAACTGGACTATCCAACACAAAAATAATTATTCAATTCGAAACAGTAGTTTCGGAGATTAGCGATTTCAAACAAACAAACAAACATACAAACAAACAAACAAACTCTTCAGCTTTATAATATTAGTATAGATTAGTTAAATAATAAGATGTATGTGATAATATTTTATTTTACAGACGTGTACAAGAAGCTGATCGCTACAGAGAGAAGGCTTATGAAAAGAGAGAAAAATATGAAGGAGAGAGAGTTTCAATGGAAAGGTATATTGTTATAATGATTATATTATACAATAAACACTATGTTAGGGTGTTTACTGCATGCGCCCTGAAGCCGCTACGCTCCGTTAAATGGCCGTATTTGTTTTTACAGTGACATCACATCAGATTGTAATGAGTTTGAGAAAATAATGCAGTTGCAAAGAGATTTTAATTATTTGAAATTAAACGATAATAGCTCTAGGCGTGTGTGAAATGTCGCCGTTTGTGCGTTTAACACGTGTGCTTTGTATAATTTATTATTTTTTCGAGAACTGAAATGATTGATGGATTTAGAAAGAATTATTGTTATGTTACATTCGACATAGAATATAGAATGGGAACTCCTATTGATGGTTTTAGTAAGTATCGGTGACATCTGGAATCATAGAAGAAAAAAATATATTGAGGGAGAGAAACAAACATGTTTTGATGTAAAATCAACTATATGATTACTTCATTAAAGTATATTTTTTACTGACAGAATGGAAACCCTTACATTTACTATAGAAATGAATCAAATATCATATAAACAATAGATAAGTGGATAATTTGTAGTGACTTAAGAAAAAATACACCAATGACAATAAAGTGGATTGAATTGAATTCATATTAGAAAATGAAGAAATAGGAATTATGAAAATACTCAGATTGTGCCAAATATATTACAGAGCAGTGTGCGAAATGTGTTGTGAGAAATAAACATTATATAAATAAGCATAAGAATATATGAATTATTATTGGAAATTATTGATATATGGAAAAAGATATGTGTATAAAAGATAAGCCAAGAAAAACTTACATTATATCAATTACAAGAAAAGATACTGTTTTATGTTCACTTTATGGAATAATTCATAAGAAAATCAAAGAAAATTGTCTATTGACAGAACAGTATATAAGAATGCCTAATCAGAAATAAGCAAAGACAATAAAGAATATAATAAACTGATTGAATAGAAAAACTGTTTGAGATATGAAGAAAAGAATAGTTATGTATATGACATAACATAACTATGATAAAGATATATAAGAGAGTAACATAATATATTAAAGATAAATAAAGATATGTCAGTTTATATACTATGATATAAAGATATGAATAAATGGATTTAGTAGGTATTCCTGACATCCTTAACTTATGTAACGGTAAGTGTGGTGTGTAAATGATTGTCAAACATCTGGTTGGAATATTTTGTTATATACATAGATAAATTAAATGAATATTATAAACATTAATTATATATGGTGATAAATATGTGTGTACAATGTGTTTCACCTTTGAATTTATATTTTTTTGTTATCATATGTGAATTCATTTGTTGGTCTAAAATTATTGATTATATTATAAAATTAAACTTGATACCGGAGAGATATTGTAATATAATTATTTTGCTTCACGGTATGCTTTTATATTGAGGATGGAAATGTTTGTATTTATTGTGTTAATTTTTGTAACTTATCGATTCCAGGGGACGTGAAATGCATCGCGATAGACCAGCCAGGATTGGGAAACCGCTGCACCAAAGGTAATGAATTGGTTACATAATAAGAGCATCTTCACACTTTTTTTTGTGTAGTGTGAAGCAACCTCATAGCACCAAAAATGGTGTGATATTACACCATTTTTTTGGACATATATTCAATGATAGGTCATAAGGTTAGCCTGTGATAAGTTGTTGATAGAAGAAAATAAACATAATTATATAATATTCAATTAAATTCACTATTGATTTATTTCATGTATCCAAATTATAGACAAATATCCAACGTTTGAGTTGACCTTGGTAGTACGAACTTATAAAAGAATTCTTTTATTTAATTGAATTTGAATTGTTTTATTTAGAAGACTAGCTTTCCGCCCGCAGCTTCGACCGCGTGGAGTTCGATTATATCTTGTTTCCAAGAGAACCTTTCAAAATTCTGGGATAAAAAATATCCTATGTTCTTTCTCAAGGTCAACTCTATCTCTGTCCCCATTAAAATTAGTTCAGTGGTTTAGTCGTGAAAGCGTAACAGACAGACAGACAGACAGAGTTACTTTCGCATTTATAATATTAATAGGTATAAGAAGTATTATACTAACTTTGATAATGTTTTCAGAGAGGAATCAAGATCAAGAAGTCCGGATGAACGATACAGGGAAAGGAACAGAGATAGAAATGATCGGTACAGGGGAGAAGATACTAGGAGGGGGGAGGATAGAGGAGAACCGAGGAGGGGGGAGGAAAGAGGAGAACCGAGGAGGGGCAGGAACCAGCCACAGAGGGAAAGGAGAACCAGGTATGAAGGATATACAAGGAATAATATATTTATTATATGCGCCTTTTACTTCATGATACTTTATTAGGGACAGTATACTTCATGATTGTTATCATTGATTTAGCTTTTTCATCCTTTTTTAATGTAATCTAATAAATGAGTGAAGTCTTTTAATCTAGTATGCCAAAACTATTATACATACTTGAGACAAGTTGATTGTATTTTGTTATATAGTTGCCTTAGAAATTGTCTTGATTATTGAATTTAAATACAGTATTATTGTGAATTATATGTCTTAATATCATAGTTTTAATATTATCTATTAGTAATTTTTATCTCATACTAGCTTTCCGCCCGCAGTTTCGCCCGCGTTTAGTTCGGGTATATCGCGTGTCCAAGAGAACCTTTTGAAAGTCTGGGATAAAAACTATCCTAAGTTCTTTCTCAAGGTCAACTCCATCTGTGTACCAAATTTTATTAAAATCAGTTCAGTGGTTTTATAGTCGTGAAAGCCTAACAGACAGACAGACAGAGTTACTTTCGCATTTATAATATTAGTAGGGATATATAATAACTGATAATGAACGAAACAGATTCGACAAAGCCAATGATAATAAAGAATACACATGGGGCAAGACGGAGGTTAAGAAGGAAGCAAAGAACCCCGCTGATAAAGAAAAACCTAACTTTGGGTTGTCAGGGAAGTTGACTGCTGACGCTAACACTGTGAACGGAGTAGTCATCAAGTACACCGAGCCTGATGATGCTAAGCAACCCAAGAGACGGTGGAGGTGATACAGCTCACTTTAATTATATATATAGCTAAGATAAATATAAACCTGGGTGAAATAGAAGGGAAGCCACTGGGATACGAAGCTATGTATACATATATACATAGTTTAAAAACCCAGTGGCCATATTAGACCAGTGCCGAGAGCTTTTAAAACATAATTAAATTATAGTAGAATAAAAGTCATTGGAAAACTAAGGGAATATTATAAAAATTAAAGGAAAAATAATTTACGGGCGATCTGAGCTCGCGGAGGGTAATGGGGGTGGGTATTTAAGGGTAAAAAATGGGTTTTCTCGATTTCCGGCAAAACTAAAAGTCCTACGGAAAAATGTTATATGGCAAAGTTGTAGGTAATAAAAAGATCTAAAACTTTTGCACAGACATTTTTTTCACATAACCTCAAATTTTATGTGAAAAATTCGAAAAACCAAGTTTTTGTTTTTTTTATTTTTACCTTTTACAAAAAACAATATTTTGTCACGAAATTTGGTGTAAACTTACCTTTTGATGTCCATAATACACTGTAATTTATTTGATTAGAAATATTTATTTTTTCAGCTTATTTTGAATAAAGATCAAAAAATCAACCTCATTTTCAATCGAAAAGTACCCGTCAAAATATCAGCTTTTCTCAAAAATTTGGTGTGTTTTCTGTTCGTTAAAATTTCTATTTTCCGATGGTGAATAAAAAAAATATAAGTTTCTTACTTGCAGTACCATTTTTGGATAAAATAATCATGTCTCTTTTAATGAAATGACACTCGATATTGTTTGGAAAATGCTCTTTCAATTTATTTTTAATAGTTGTGTTCTCTGGAAGTTCTCCAGATAGTCCCTCTTTTAGGTAATTTACAGAAAATTGACATTACGGTGCTAAAACTGGAAATTACTGGAATCTTGTAATATATTATAGTCTATGTCCTTTTCTGATGTCTAAACTACATCATCGTTAAGTTTCATTAAAATCTGTGAAGTAATTTTAGTGCTAAACAGTCACAAACATCCATACATCAACATACGGTTAGAAAATTACATGATTTATTTATTTATATTAGTAGGATTAATAATAATTAATCATTTAATATTTCCAGGTTCTATCCGTTCAAAGGCGACAAGGCTCTCCCGATTCTTTACATCCATCGCCAGTCATGCTTCCTCATCGGCAGAGATAAAAAAGTAGTCGACATAGCCCTTGAACACCCATCCATAAGCAAGCAACACGCGGCGTTGCAGTACAGAGCGACGGCCTTCACTAGGGATGATGGAACTCAGGGACGACGTGTCAGGCCTTATATTATAGATTTGGGTAATTAAACTATAATATTTATTAATAACTAGCTGCGTTCGCGGTGTTACCCGCGGATTTTCAGGATGTAAAGTAGCCTATGTGTTATTCCTGGACGTCAGCTTCCTGTATACAAAATTTTAGCCGTTTGAGAATGAAGAAGTATCCAACATACACACACACTCACAAACTTTCGCAACTATAATATTAGTAGGATAAGTATATTAATAAATGTAACTAATATTTTTCGGATATACTATGCGACTTTTTTACTTTACTACGAGCATCGTGTGCAAATGATCACGGCTGCTGAAAAGTAGCCGAAACGTCGGGACTATGTAGTTTTTATCAAAAATAAAGTCGCGTAGTAAATCCGAAAAATATTAGTTTCATTTAAATGAGTACTCGCGAAAATGTTAGATCTCACCAATGTATGCTCTATACAGAATCGGCGAACGGAACGTTCGTGAACAACAAGAAGATAGAGGCCCGCCGTTACGTGGAACTTCTCGAACGAGACGTCGTGAAGTTCGGCTTCTCGGCGCGGGAATACGTGTTGCTTCACGAAAACAGCAAGGACGAGGGCCAAGACGACGACCAGGAGCCCGCGGTCACTGAACCCACTGGCGTCACTACCGTGGACCAGCTCAAGAGGGAGAAGCACGCCAAGGAGGCGGCCGCCGCTGACGGGGAGTAGGGAGGAGTATGGAGCTGTGACGTCACAATAACGGCTGAGTTTTGAAGTTGGGACGTCACTATAATGATTGAATGTTGCAGTTGTGACGTCATCATAATTGAGTTTTGGCCGAGTGTTAGCGGCCATCTCAGATTTACATGTTATATACATGTGTGTGTATGTAGAACCATAGCAGTGGTTTAATTAGGATTAGATATTTTAATGTTCCATTTATATTATAATGCCGCATAAATAATATAAATCTATCTTTTCCTAATAAAAGGTCCGTGTTAGTAGTTTTGTTTATAAAATTAATTAACCAGAAAGATAATAACTTTGAGATGTATTATTTATTGTAGACGAATATTAAATCAAAAAGATATTTTGTGCATCTTAATTTTATTAATTTTTATATGTACTTCAGTAAAGGCTATTATTGAAGTGAAGCTTAAACAGATGTTTTAATTCAAGGTCAGAGTTTAAGACTTCATAGTTGTTGCACTTTTAATATTTAGAATTTATTTCTTTCCGAATAAAATAAACAATTTTATAGTAGTAAGACTACCGGTTATTATAAGTTAATGGTTAAATAAAACACCGTACTATTGATATGTAAGGTTTTTTTTAATTATAGAATATTCTAGAACTCTACACATTGTGTTCTAGCGTTCAATAAATGCATAACTATTAAGCGAAATAGTTTTTATTTTGTACCCAATATCTCTACGAACGTCCATCTACAATCATCTACACTTATTCTATTATGTACAACGATCGATCCAAGTATTTACATTTAATATTAACATAAATAAATATTACATAACGATTCGTCGGTGGAATTACAAAAGGCTAATATCACAGTTTAAAATGGAGTCTTGAAGACGTGTTTGTCGAAATCTATCGGCGGTCTTGACGGGCCTGGGTAAGGCTCGTTGAAATTTCCATCGCATATAGAAGCCCGCTTCATTATTCCGTTCCGAAGAGGTATTATTGTGGCGTTCGGAGGTCGGCTGTTTGTGCGAAGCGAATGCGTTCGGTATAATGGCGGTTTTATTAATCTGTTTGGCGCCACTCCCACTATACTGTGACGAGAAAATGGCGCGTACGTAAACGGCGTCCGCGGTATTTCATATCCATCGCATAATGTATTTGAAGGAGACTCCGTGTCGTACATGAGTTCTAAATATTTAGTTCGCGGCAATAGATTTGAAGGCTCCATTTCTTGTTCCGGAGATTCTTCGTCTGGAAGCATTTTTAAACGTCAGCAATTAGGTTATGTGTCAAAACATTTTTAGTACTTGATTTTTTTGTGCATTTATATTGATTTGCAAGTTATTTGTTATGATAAGTCATGCTTATGATGTGATAAATTATATGTAAACGAACCTAACGCGTTGTCATTCTCGTCCAACAGGTACGTACGGTTGTCGACGGCATCTGTCATGCATCATGCAACATATTAGTATTAGTTATAGCATTTAGAATTTAATTAGCAGACATGCTTATTTTTTATTCGAGCTCTCGTCATGCTCATTAAAAAGATATTTAAAGCTCATGAAAATTAGTAACCACATACAATTTGAGGATAGTTTTTAAAATTATCTCGAAAATGGTGGACAAATATGTAAATGACATCAAATGTTATTTCAATTATATATGAAAACAGTTTATATCGAAATTTTTAGCTATAACTGCCTTCGTATACTTCAATTATTAATTTATCTATTGCCAATTCACCATAGAGTAAGAATAAAATTTTACAAAATTGTCACTCCTCTAAATTTCCAATAAGCCATTTGCAAGATACAATAATCTTTATTAGATTTTCGACATTAAACCACCAAGAAAACTTAAAACACTGCCTTATATATACATCTATATATAAAATGTAGTTTTATGGCAGTTTGACGTTTTTTCTTGTAAATACTTTCACGGCTCTGGATACGAGCCCTTTTGGCCCTTTTTTTTAGCCCTTTTGACCCCTTTACCCCTAAGGCAGTTTGAGTATAAATAGGTATGGTAATCGTTCTCACCATCAGCTAATAACGTGAGGTAGTGTGGTTGCGGGGGTGGGTGTGGGGTTGCGGCGAGAGGTTCTCTCGGTGGTGTACGGTCTCTGAGGGCAACCACAACCTGGAGACACTCGCGGAACGAAGGCCTGGACTCTGGAGAATAACTCCAGCACTTCTGTAGGAGCTCGTAGCTGTGGAAAATAATTATAATCGTTAGGTTTATCGTGTTTAGGATGACTTGTAGAGGAAGAGAAGTTATATAATAATGTGATAATAAAGTAAGAATAATTGTTATGATAAAATTTATTATATATTTTGACCCTGAAATTATTTGAATTCATATGAGATACTCCTATAATACTCTTCTACAGGGTGACTGGTGAATTACTATCAATATTTAAGGAGAGTACTCGGTACATGATTCTCATTCGAATTATGTAAAAAAATAGGTACTTAATTTTTGATCAAATTTCCGTATAAATAAATAAAGTGTGGACACGTTCTAAGTGTTCCAAGTGTGGACGCGTGCGGCGGCGTGCTGATACACCACCACGCCGCCGCACGCGTGTGTGTGTGTTTGTTTATACCTAATCTGTAGGGTGTTCACAATTAATTACATAACTTTTGGTTAATTTTACTTAGAAGATTATTAATATTTATGTTATAGGTATTAATTTTTATTTTGTCATATATGATCGTCAAATATCACGTCCTCAAGTATCGATAGTAATTCACCAGTCAACCTGTATAATAATTTAGAAGAAAAGTGAGACTGATGTTTATCTATATATTAGCACGACCGAAATTTATAATTATAAATGAGAAACATAACTGATTTATATAAATATTATAAACTAGCCCAATATTTTTAAATTAACGAGCTTCTATAAGATATTTAGGTTTTAAAAAAGAAAAGAGACAGCTACATAATTATGCTAGCCGTTTTCTACTACTTCAATTCTAGAGATTAATAAATTATATCAAAGACACTTACAACACCGTGGGACAGTTAGGCGGTCGGTCAGGTGTACCTCCAGCTCGCACCAGAGCCAGCACCTGTCTGTTGGTCCGTGCTGGGTACGGCTGTCGGCCCAGAGACAGCACCTCCCAACACAGCACGCCCCAAGCCCACACGTCTGACTGACACGAGAACACACCGTCTACTAGACATTCTACTGCCATCCAACGAACTGGGAGAAGACCTGGAGATTAGACGTAGGACTTGGATTAATGATGATCTATATATATACTAGAATCGTAATAGAGTTATACTCGTAAATATTAAAGATTCTCTATACCAGGTATTTGTAAACTTATTTTGTCTCTGCCCACTTTGGAAATAAATTATTTTGTATTAGGTACCCAAATTTTTTCAACGACTAAAAAATTATAACTTAACCTATTTATATGAAGTTACAAAACACCCCCCAAGGTTTATACACAACGCCAAAATTTCTTTCTGAGTCTTTTATTGCCTCCCTTTAGGATTGCAGCGCCCACATATGAGCATTATCGCCCACTTTGGGAAAGGATAGTCTTTACATTGCTGGGTAAATATATAGCAAGAGACATATACTGATTCTGTATATTTAAATCTTTGATGGATGTTATTCATGACTTCTGAGTGTAAATATATGCCTATTAATTATATTAGATGTCACAAAACCTGAAGTATGTTATAGCTTATAACTTAAATTAAGTAGTTATTATATATTAAATATACCCGTTATATATTACAAGAACGAATGACAAATCAAAAGTTCAGTCACAATAAATTGCTATCAATTCTGCTCTTAATAATCCGTTTCTGACGCTAACATAATTAAGTATGAATATATCTTAAACTCAGTATATTAAATAAAGTTTTAAGTCAGTGGTGGCCTAGTGGTTAAAAGGCCCGCCCCATGCATGAGGTCGCAGGTTCGATCCTGGCATACCAATGTGATTTTTCCGAGTCATATGTACTTTCTAAGAGTATTTAGACATCACTGATTAATGCATTCCCAAAGAGGGTTGATGTCAGGCGGGCGGTCGTAAAAACAATTAGACAAAACTATAAACATGTAAGGCGGACTGGCTAAAGCTGGGAAATTGCTAGGTAGAAGATTAAATAAAGTTTTAAAAGCTGACCTTCTCCCTCCTTCCTGTAATAATCATTCTTGTATATATCCCTCGCTAGTCCGAAGTCCCCTATCTTCACGATGCGTGTGTTCCCTCTCATGGCCACCAAACAGTTTCTACACGCGAGGTCTCTGTGTACGAAGTGCATCTCTTCCAAGTAGCGACACCCTCGGGTTACATCCACACACATGTTCAGAAGATCCAGTAATGTTAAGGATTCGGGGGTGTACTGTGGAATTAATACACATCTTTATATATATAATTCTTCTGTGAGTGTGTATGTCACTGAACTTCTCTCAATCGACTGGACCGACTTTCATTAAATTTTTTGTTTGTGTTCAAGGGGATCTGGGAATGGTTTAGATTAACAATTTTGTCCGCTAGACAATGTTTCTTTAATTAATTTTTAATGTTTTAGTAGTTGTTAATACAAACGTTTTTTTTGACATTAGTTTTGACAACTAACTAATATATCAATCATTCTGTCGCACTTCAAAACACGGAGATTTATGGCTTTAATAGGTAAACTCCAAAAATATAAATAAAAAAACGATATTTCTTGATTATATGGCGATACGAAGTTCGCCGGGTCTTCTAGTATATATATATAAATACTAATTTTTCGCCCGCAGCTTCGCCCGTGTGGAGTTCAGTTATAACGCGGTTCCAAGAGAACCTTTCAAAAGTCTGGGATAAAAACTATCCTATGTTCTTTCTCAAGGTCAACTCTATGTCTGTACCAAATTTCATTAAAATCAGCTCAGTGTTTTAGGCGTGAAAGCGTAACAGACAGAGTTACTTTCGCATTTATAATATTAGTAGGGATTGCTGACAGTTATTTAATATTATTATTCTTTTAAATTGTTAGTTAGATCGAAGATTTTTGCAAGTATTCATTGAAAAAAACTAACGTTTTTTGGATTTACTACTGGTTTATAATAATTTTTAATGCCAAACACCCGAAGTTGTGCTTACTTTGCAGCAACCCTAGTCACGAAGATGAGATGTGAAAGTAACTAAAATCGCTAAGTAAATTCAAAAAATATTAGTAAACGCGAAGTAAATTCAAAAAATATTAGTTTTACGCTATTATTAGTTTTTCCTTGAAACAATCTGCAATTGTTAGCATTGACTGTCGAGCCTAATATCTTCGAGGCTTTATACCGAAGACAGTTATAGACCTATTACAATTATAATGAGATTCCTGATTAAGAATTGAATTAGTTCAAACTTCGACTCAAGCTTCAAGTTCAAGCTTCGACTATTTTGAACACATAAAATCTAGCATTATATATATGAAATTCTAGCGTTATATATATATTTTACCAGCGAGGATCGTTTCGCCCGAAGGTAACTCAGTAGATCCCCTCCTTCCATGAGCTCCATCACTATGTAATGCGGGTCGTTGTCTAAACACACGCCCAACAGTCGCAAGATGTGTTCGTGTTTGAAATTCGACATTAAAGCCGCTTCTTTTAAGAATTCAGTCTTTTCTTGTTCCGTAGCTCCTTTGCGTAAAGTCTGAAATTAGTATAAAATAAATAATTTAAAAATAGTTTTATTTCATATAATGATGCTAATTGTAAGGAATTAATATTCATTATATGTGTTTAAGTTCTCTTTATCCAATACTATAGACCTAGAGTATAATATTATGATGGTTTATTTCAAAGATAGCTGTACACACATAAACAATTTATCGACCAGATATGTATAAAAGTACCAGATATAAAAGTAGTATGTCAATGGGTTTCAAGTAAAGTGTAATATATGTTGTGATTAATTACTATGGGCGATTATATTAATGACCAAATTGATACATAGTATTTCGGAAAAAAAACATATATTTTTCAACTTTTTATCTTCATGCATCAGAAATATTTAAAAAAAACTCACAATAAAACTGACCTAATTATTCATTATGATTACTTCTTAATCCAACTTATCGTAAATGATTACGTAATAATAAGTTATATATTTTTTTTACCTTAACGGCGACTTTCGTATCAGTGTTGCCATTATTAATATTTCGTGCGACTCCTTCAAAAACTTCCCCAAAAGCTCCGGATCCTAGGAATTTAGAGAGAGTGATCTGTTCACGACGAATGTGAGGGAGGCTGGCTAGTTCAGCGTCTGATGGACATAGAACACCCTGGAACATACACGACGATATATTATTAATAAAAAATAAAATATATATGCTACTAGCTTTCCGCCCGCAGCTTCGCCCGCGTGGAGTTCGGTTATATCGCGTCTCCAAGAGAACCTTTCAAAAGTCTGGGGTAAAAACTATCCTATGTTCTTTCTCAAGGTCAACTCTATGTCTGTACCAAATTTCATTAAAATCTGTTCAGTGGTGTTGGCGTGAAAGCGTAACAGACAGACAGAGTTACTTTCGCATTTATAATATTAGTAGGTATTTGTGTTCGTTTCAAAATTATTAAAATACAAAAAAATATCGAAAAGGAATTGAAATCCGTGATAAATAGTCACTACTTCGTTACTTTAGTAATTCATTACATGAGATTTTTACGCCTAAACCACTGAACTGATTTTAATGAAATTCGGTACAGACATAGAGTTGACATTGAGGAAGAACATAGGATAGTTTTTATGCCATACTTTTGAAAGGATCTTTTGGAAACGCGATATAACAGAACTCCACGCGGGCGAAGCGGGCGGAAAGCTAGTAAGTTAAATATACAAATAGATATATTAGTAATGATTCTAACCTGGTTATACAATATGTTGTTTGAATGTCTTATTGGTAGTTGTCGTAATGTAGCCAGTTCGACGTCCGGACCTCTCCGTACGATGTTCGCTGTCAGTTGGTTACCGAGAGACGTTTTCTTCTTACTGCGATGATTATATGCTGTTGATGATGAAAATAAAAGGTCAATAACATTATATTATTATATAAGGAGTTTAAGTCAACGTTAGGATAATTTTGCAATATTCTTATATTTATTTATTTCATTAATCATTTTGTTTTTATTGCCAAAGTAACAAACATAGTCATAATCCTTAGCATTCATAATAGTATTTTATTACACATAATGTTATCTTCAGTATTTTGTTTAGAACCTTTTTGAGACGCTCTGTGTCTTTTTATTATAAAGTTAGATATGGTTTATATTCAATTCAAAGACATTATAGAAGACAATCATATAACAAAGAGTATAAAACTTCTAGAACAAAGTATGCTTGAAATCAGATGTTATATTATATGCAATTATTTAAAACATTTGCTTTAGTATACCTAAATAAACTAATATCATATTAATTATATTGGAGAACATGTTCTAATTTTATAAACTGTTATATACTCACTTCTACCTGGCAATTTCCCAGCTTTTAGCCAGGGTCTGCCTTACATGTTGTGAATAGTTCTGGCTAATTGTTTTTACGACCGGCCGCCTGCCTGACATCAACCCTCCTTGGGAATGCATTAATTAGTGGTGTCTAAATACTCTTAGAAAGTACATACACAGATTTACTCACTATACAATACTATAGCTGCGACGACTATAACAATAGCGGCAAGCGCGCCCAGTACTAGCGCTAGTATAGTACGCGGGGGGCGAAGCGCCGGCGAGGCCCAGGAGACCCTCGCGGCGGTCGACAGGCCTCCCCAGCCGTATGAGTTGCGGGCCTGCACGCGGGCCAACCACCCGCCTTCAGCCACACGCTCGGGACCAACCAACCAGTACGTCTCTATAAAGATATGTTTTAAAGTAAAGCTTTTCGTCCTTTTTCGTCCTACCTACATTTTTAATTATCATGTGCGGATTTGTGGTACAAGCTTGAAGTAATTGTACTGTTTATAGCTAGAATTTTATTCGCATTATAACTAACTTCAATTTGTAGAGGTTTTGTATTTAATTTTTATGTTTATATATAAATTAAGATAGTATTATTAATTAGTAATCATGAATAGAGACATCAATAACTGTGTTTATAAATTGTTCTCTGTCAATTCTTATATCAATTTAAGTTCGCGAAAAAAAACACTACATAAAAAACAATATTTAGTTCTACCGTCGATTTATATGTCTTATCTCTACTAATATTATAAATGCGAAAGTAACTCTGTCTGTCTGTCTGTTACGCTTTCACGCCTAAACCAATGAACTGATTTTAATGAAATTTGGTACAGAGATGGAGTTGACCTTGAGAAAGAACATAGGATAGTTTTTATCCCAGACTTTTGAAAGGACTCGGAAACGTGACATAACCGAACTCCACGCGGGCGAAGCTGCGGGCGGAAAGCTAGTAATGTATAAATGTATAAAATATAAGACATGACATCTTACGTGATCCGTTGTGAAGTAGTTCGAGCCCTTCTCTAAGGATGGCCAACCTAGTTTCGTTGTCCAGATTATTATGAAAACTTTTCATGAGCATGTCACTAATGTTTCTCGTGTCACTTTCATCGTTATCATTTATTCTGAAAGATAAGATTATTATAAGATTCATCATCAGCCTATCAGAGCCCACTGCTGAGCAAAGGCCTCTTTTCACATGGAGAAGGTTTGAGCATTAAGCACCACGCTTGCTCAAGACGGGTTGGTGATTTCAAACTTATAATTTTAAATTATAAGTCCAAGTTTCCTCACGATGTAATCCTTCACCATATTAAAATATTATCGTAATTAATTTAAGCTATGACAAATATGACTAAACATGACTATAATATATACAGTTAAGGCATAAGTTCTTTTAAAACTGGTGATATTTATTTAACTCTTTTTTGTACACCACAATAACAATACAAACAATTACAAAAAATACAAAATAAAAACTAATGGTGAAACAAAAGGCGGCCTTATGGCTTATTAGCCATTTCTTCCAGACTACCTAACTCTAGGTAAAAAGCCATGATATTCGTGATAATGTTTGAAACTAATTCATTACACAGCCAGTATTGTATTTTATTGGTTTTTTACCTGAGCTGTGGTCGTCCCCACACTCGGTACTCCATGATGGGGGCTCCTCGAGGCTCGGGCTCCGCCCACCAGAGGCGAAGCACCCGCTCTCCAACCGCCTCTACATGAACCGCGCCCGGAGCACCTGGTACGTCACCTGTACATAACATACGAAGATATAACATATAAAAAAAACTAATATTTTCGGCATAACATACGATGCTATAACATCTATACCATAGTAATATTTTCGTTATACTACTCGTTTACTATTTTAAAAAACTATACACTCCTGACGTTTCGGTTATTTTGCAGCAACAACAAGTGAGTAATCAGAAAGTATAAGTTTTATTTAAATGACTAATCGCTAAAGTCATTAAGATATCATCGTAACGAAAGCAGTAATAAAAATATAAGAAATCATCATCATCTAAGCGCCTATCCCGGTCGCTCGTCCCGCCCGGGCGGGAGAACCCAGGGTTCGCTTTAATAATATAAGAAATGATTTTATGAAATCTTTTTGGTATCGTAGGATTTTAACTTAAAATAAGCAATAATTGATAATAATAATATAGGTGTAATTATTGACATGTAAGTACTTGTATATTGGATGCGCTTAAAAAAATAACCAAAATGTTTTTCTAATTGCTGATTAAAAAACATAGAGACAGAGCTACGTTCTCGAGCTATTTTCATGGGCTGCAGTAATGCGACATGGGATAGGTATATGAAAAAAAATTAACTATTCAACCAACGATTAATTATTTAAAGATTAAGAATACCGTGGAATATAAGCTCTACTCTATATAACGCTTCCAATAAAGACAATTTTAAAATCATTTAAACTTTAATTCACATAATTTAAATTCCCGACTCTTCACAGTATGGCAGACAAATGTATCAAATAATTTACTTAATAATAATTACCAATAGTTTCATATGTAAATCTATCATCCTCCGGCCAGAAGTATGGAGGCGCGTTACTTAAATACTGTAAGTGTAATCGAAAGCGGTATTTCGTAGCCGGCTTCAGATCAGTAGCAGACCACTCCACGTCACTGATCCTCTCACAAGGCTTCCATTCATCCTGACTTGAAGTTACCTCAGTATATTCAACAGTGTACCTTGAATGTTCAAATTTATGGTTAACGATACTTTATTTTCTCAAAAAGAAATTACATTTCACTTACTTGAGAAAATTATGACTAAATTAAAACTTCGACAATCATAATAAATGTAACACTAGGTAGTTTAACATATTCTTACAATAAATTTTGCTTTAAACAAGAAATTTAAAACATTCCCTCAAAGCAACAATAATTGTGAACAAAACAGCGATAAGAAATGCAATTTTACTTCATAATCGTGTATTCTAATTCAAAATCTTGCTAAAGTGACTTTAAATCACGCTTAAATAGTCACAAGATCCTGATTCTATGTCGGTTTGACCAGTACGTATGCTAATCAAAAGTTTGCATCACCACACTACATACAAAGAGTTTCCCGTTTTTCATTCAATAACTTACTTTAGTTAGTACTACTCAGTTATAGTATAACGAAGATTTATGCATGGTAAACTGTTAACGCTTTGTATATAATGTGATGAAATTGAATCCTCAAACAAGGAGTAATCATAAGACTCTGTCCTCTAAATTAAGTTTAAAGCGATTTAATGAACGCTTCGTAATAAATATTATATTTTTCTATAAACATTCTTTAATTTACTATCAATAGATGAATTCAAAAATGATTTGTTCCTAAATTAATATCAATTGAATAACATATGTACTTTAAACAACAAATTTGTTAATAAACTCGAATGGAATTCATATAAGTATACGGTTAATAGAAAATACTGTCCTTTTCCATGCCGTGATAACTTTTAATTGAAACAACACTTAGCTAAAAATGTAATTAGCTTTATTTTAAAATCTATAAATGGTGTATGTTTTGTAAGTTGTCCTTATATAAATCTTCTTCTTCTACCTGGCAATTTCCCTACTATAGCCAGGGTCTGCCTTACATGTGTGAATAGTTTTGGCTAATTGTTTTTTACGACCGGCCGCCTGCCTGACATCAACCCTCTTTGGGTATGCATTAATCAGTGATGTCTAAATATTCTTAGAAAGTACATATGACTCGGAAAAATCACATTGGTACTTGCCCGGGCCAGGATCGAACCCGCGCCCTAATATAAATAAATAAATAAATATACACGTATCATCAAATTTAGTACTCACGAATGCAAGGGATATGATGTAGGTGCAGGCCACGTTACTACAAGCTGGTATGCTTCAGCTAACCGGAGGTCAAGTGGGGCTGGTTGAGGTCGTGTGCGCAGGCGCAGCGGTGTTGAGTCCGCTGTGACCGAGCTATGAAGGGAGTGGGCTCGAACCCACACTGTGTAAGACGTGGAGGGAGATAGACCAGTCATATTGGCACTCCGACCGCGGGACATTTCGAATATATGCTCTACAGACAAAATACAAGTGTTACTATATTACTAGGTTTTTATTTTTTTTAATTTATTGGAACAACAAAAAAGTTTACAATTATCATTTCTTATAGCTCAATTAGTACATAACAGTTATTGCAAACTCAACAACGATGGTCACATTATACATAAAACAAAAATAAAAATGAACCTGTGTAAGTATTAAATATTAACAAATTCAAACAATTAAAAATTTAATTATTATGGTGAAAAGATATGAGTTTTATAGAAAAAATAAAAGAAAGAAAAAATGGAAAAATTAAATATAAACATTTTGTTCAATATACGAGTACAAATAAACCTATACATATATGTTTATATACAAGTATATTATAATAAAAATTAAAAATATATAATAAACATAATACGAGTATAAATAAACACATACATACAATACACTTTAATTAAAAAGCACATACTTATTCCAGTTTCCGAACATTAAGATACTTTTTTGCATTTTTATATGGAAAAGATGTGGTTTTGGTTGCACTGTCTTAAATAAATCATAAGTTCATAGTCTAAATTTCAACTAATTCGAATTTTAATCGTCCTAATGCCATATCATTTTTGAATTTAACTGTCTTTAAATAGTTTTGTATAACGAGGAGACTTATAAACCTACCGGAATATTTTTTATATGAATGTTACTAATACATTTTGGATATAATACGATTATATAATAATTTTTACAAAAAATTAAGCACGCGTAATTTCGGCTACTTTTCATCGACCGTGATCACAGGCAGACGAGATGTGAATGTCTGTCAGTTGGTCCTGTTATTTATCTGCTCTTAAGTACGCGTAGTATATCCGAAAAATATTAGTTTCATATAAATGAATAAAACTGGCGAAAGTCTTAAATCTTATTACTATTTTCATAGTTTATGGGCTATTTCTTGAGTTTTATAATTTAATACCTTTAGATCGTCGCGGTAACGACGTGGAGTCATCCGTTTTCCAGTGCAGCTCGTACCACAAGCCAGGGTCCGGAGTCCATTCGACTCGAGCCAGAACAGGACTTAAAACTATTCCCGTTACATTCTTTGGAGCAGTTGGAGCTAAAATTAACAAAAATATCCAAACTATACTTCATTTCCCATCGTATTTGAGTAAAATTATAATTGCACATTGAATTCAAGTATATTACGCAAATGCTTATATTTTTCTTGATTTAATCATTATCTAAATGTCGAAAACTTTGTGATTGCTACTGATGTTATTTTTGCTTATTGTCCCTACTAATATTATAAATGCGATAGTAACTCTGTCTGTCTGTCAGTTACGCTTTCACGCCTAAACCACTGAACTGATTTTAATGAAAATTGGTACAGAGATGAAGTTAACCTTGAAAAAGAACATAGGATAGTTTTTATCCCAGACTTTTGAAAGGTTCTCTTGGAAACTCGGTATAACCGAACTCCACCCGGGCGAAGCTGCGGGCGGAAAGCTAGTATAATATAAATTATTTGTTATCAACTAACCTTCTGCTGCAGTTTGTAGGATTAATGGCATTCCGTAAACAGGCGGTATATTGTGAAGTTTAGAATAATAGTTGGTCGCTTCGATCATAACGGAATAATTAGTGAAGGGTTTCAATTCGTTGAGTATTACTTCAGTACTGGTAGTTGTCAAATAAGGACATAAATCTCTGTCGCAGATAATACTAATGTTTTTTATTTGAGCTCGATAAAAAATTGTATATTCTGTAGCTGGTAACTCATATTGTAAGTTCTTACAATCTTCGTGGTGGGGTTTCCTTATATGAGGTAATTGTAAAGTTATGCTGTTCGCTGAATGTCCTATAAATTTCGGTAAGAGTTTCTGTGAGCTTGGAAACAAGCAATGTGTAGGTGGATAAGGTTGGTTTCCTGGATCCAAAGCCATGATCTTGTATCCCAAAGAGACCTTGGCCTGTTCTATTTTACTAATTTTAAATTTGTTCGTATAAAATATCAATTTTTCCGTTGAGTTATACCAATACACATATTTGCTATCCACTGTTATAGATGTGGGTAAAAAGCCATACTTCTTTTTCTCAGTAGCATCAACGACTAAACTGCAGTTACAGCCAAGGATATCTGATTCATATATTCTATTTTTCCAAGGATCTACCCAAAGTAAGCTAGTTTTATTATTCGTCATATCAAGGACAAAGCTTCTCGCCACTTGCGGTCTATCGGGACAACTGCAATGTTTACGCTTGTTGAAAAAATGAGTAACGTTAGATCCACCCAGTTTTGTGGTAAACAGATTGCCTAAACCAGTGTGATTACTGTCTTCGTACCAATACAATGACCTGAAAGATGTAAATGACATATATAACCATACATTTATTTGAATATTTAAAACAGCACATTAAAATCATCATCATTATCATCAGCCTATCATTGCCCACTGCTGAGCGAAGGCGTCTTTTTCAAGTGGAGAAGGTTTGAGCATTAATCACCACGCTCGCTCAAGACGGGTTGGTGATTTCAAACTTATAATTGTGAAAAAATAAGTCCAGGTTTTCCTTCACCGTCTGTCAGTGATGTCTAAATACTCTTAGAAAGTACATATGACTCGGAAAAATTACATTGGTACTTGCCAGGATCGAACCCGCGCCCTCATGCACGAGTGAAAGGCCCTTTTAATCACTAGGCCACCAATGACTACATTATTAAAGTAATTCACTTGAATATCTTACCGCAACATCGGAGCTATCTGTAAACTATACATTGGCTGTCTTCTACTCAGTATTCGTGTGATGTGTGGTCGATTATTCGGCATTCCCAAGTCGGCTCTATACATTACGTAAGATGAATCTGTAGACGTTATCTCCTGTTGGGTCCAATAAACTGACCGACTGACCCAATCTACGCAGATACTACTTGCACTCCCGTTAATCGATGTCAACTGGAATATGATCATAAAATTATGTCCCAATTTTTGTTATTAATTAGATTATATATAAACGGATTGTTATTTACTTTATAGTTCCCACTGCTATTTATTTTGGATGAGAAGATTTCTTCCAAGTTGTTCACCCAATACGCAACATTTTCTTCGATGATAATTGCAAAATCTATTGGGATGCCTGTACTCTTTGGTACTCTACCACTCTCTCCTGAATCTAAGTCTACAATTTGTATAGATTCTTGCGACGATATCATTACTCGAGGAATGGGATTTATTTCATCAGAGGGTGCGTAGACTGTGTCAGTGTATGGGCCAAAACCAGCATCAGTGAACGCGCGAACCTATAAATAGATTAGTTATTAATTATCCTACTAATATTATAATTGCGAAAATTTGTGTGTGTATGTTTGTTACTTCTTCACGCTCAAACGGCTGAACCGATTTTGATAAAATTTTGTATACAGGAAGCTGACGTCCAAGAATAACATTGGCTACTTTACATCACGGAAATCCGCGGGTAACACCGCGGGGCGCGGTTAGTATTATATAACACACAACTTCTAAGCTCATAAGCTAAAAGTAATTCATATTTTTTTCAACATATACCCTTAATTCATTGTTAAGATTTTTTTTTATTAAGTACATATATATATGTATTTTTTGTAACTTTTCAATTAGCATAATATGTTTAAATTTGTAAATGTACATATTTTTATCGTGCAAGCTCCTTTTATATCCACTATCATTGCATGAGGTATTCTCCTTTTTAGGTAATGCGTTTAGTTTCAAGCCATATGTTGTTATTGTTACTAATATAGTGTTGATGTATTTCCTGGAGGATCTTAATAAATAAATAAATAAGATGAAGATATACTCACTCTAAAGAAGTATTTAGAAGCAGGTTCTAAATCTCGTAACATAAGTTGTGTGTGAACTGGTGGTAGTCGGGCGTCAGCACATGCTGAGCGGGCGCCCCCTAGTGGTCGCTGAGTCCAACATTGGGCTTCATAACCACGTAATACTCCATTAGTGGGATTGGGAGCACCCCATCGAAACGTGCCCGTTAATGGACCATCACTGTGAAACAAGTAATTATTACCAAACGGGTTTAATTTACGAAATAACTTTGTATTGATGAGATCTAAGATTTTCGCGAGTACTTTGTATTTAAATGAAACTAATATTTTCGGATTTTACTTCGCGGCTTATTTTTTATTAGAAACTACATATTCACTACGTTTCGGCTACTTTTCCGCAACCGTGATCACGGGCAGACGAAATGTCGTCTCTTATGTTCTCGTAGTATGAAGTTTCTAATCAAAAATAAAACGCGGAGTAAAATCCGAAAATATTAGTTTCATTTAAACTTTGTATTGGATTCAGAAATCGTGAACATTCTAGACTATGTATTCTTGAAAAAATCGTTAAAGTTTTATGACTATCAATCTAAACTGAATTAATCTATGCGATTGTTTAATGTTCAGCTTTCATTCCTAATTTTTATGTATTCCTAAACAGATGTAGCGAAGACTTATACTTATGATTAGGATTTGTACATAGAGGAGTCTAGATGATTATTACGTCATAGGTAGTTATTTACTTTTTTATCATCACATCGAGAAGATCCATAAAAAATTATAATTATAATTTTTTTTTTATTGATTTATATGAAAATAAAACAATACAGTAATTGAAAATGTTTACGTAAGCATGGGGGGAGGGGGTAAGAGCTTTGCTTACTTTTGCTGACAAGGGGGATGGGGGGGGGGTAAATATTATAAATATACAAAATAATACATATTGTTTATGTAACTTTTACTGAATTTACTAAGGTTTTCATACATTACAGTTCCTAACAAATTCTCTCATGTTAGTTATCTCACCTAGTAGTTCGTTGTACATATAGCCTAGGTCTCAGTGGCGCGGCGGGCGGGGCTTGCGGTGACCGGATGACGCTCCTCGCCGCCGCGCCTCCGCCCCACTGAGTGTGAGCACGAACCGTAACCTCTGCTACCGTATACGGTAACACGGAACGTGACCGTACTTCCAACCAGGGGACTTCAACAGTTTTCTGATCAAATATACACGTATAAATAAGTTAATGAAACGCAATTTTGAAATATATACCTTTAGCTAATCTTTTTTTTGAGGGTACTTGTAAATTAAAAAATATATATCAATATTAAATAGAAATTTACGAAACATACTGACATCAATTTACAAAACATACTACATATATCAAAAATATAGACGTTAAAATGACCGAAAGAATAATTACTTAAACCCATAAAATTCCTTATCAAATAAATGTTATACAAGTCGTACGTTAATATATTAAATAATATGAAACTAGGTAGTATTTAATTTATCTGTATCTATTTAGGCCAGCTGAAAGTAATTTAAATAGTAACTAACTAACTATACTATTTGACACTATACTACGAGTATATAAGTGAAATAGTATGATAAGATTTTAACTTTACTTTTTAAATATTTTATGCTATGATTTCATTCTACTGGAATCGTGGGATATTTTGCAATTGTCATTTTTATATTATACTAGCTTTCCGCCCGCAGCTTCGCCCGCGTGGAGTTCGGTTATATCGCGTATCCAAGAGAACCTTTCAAAAGTCTGAGATAAAAACTATCCTATGTTCTTTCTCAAGGTCAATTCTATCTCTGTATCAAATTTCATTAAAATCAGTTCAGTGGTTTAGGCGTGAAAGCGTAACAGACAGACAGACAGAGTTACTTTCGCATTTATAATATTAGTAGGGATTAAGCGAATTATAATCTTGAATAGGTACTGTGTGGAGGAAACTTAAAGGAGTTTGTCGAATTAAATAATTGTTATTATTTTCACCTCAATTTTGTTGTGTCCGTGAAAATGCAGACTGACATCGTAGTAGACTCGTCCATTGTTGACATTTATTCGGTCGTCAGGTCTCCACGTCACATTGAACCTGTCCCACACACCGTCAACATCGATGGTGGAAGAGTTTATCGTATCCGGTATCGCAATTATAGATTCTGAAATATAAGTTTTCTATATAATATCTTCACGTTAATATGACAATTGAAAGCTTTGAACTGTTAGTTTGTTTTTTGGATAAACTCAAACTCAAAACTCAAATAACTTTATTCAATATAGAAGCATTACACTTTCTTATTGATGGTAACTTAAGACACTACCACCGGTTCGGAAAAGAAAATACCCTGACCTGAGAAGAACCGGCGAAAGAAACTCAGCGGGTTTTTTTTAATATAATAAGTAAGTGTTTAGATATTAGAAAGAAAAGGGGGTAATAGTATAAATGTCCCAATGACTCAGTTGAAAATATAAAATATCATCTAAATACATATGTGGTGATGGTTTTTCATGAACATTTGTAGTGTCTTATAGATATAGAAGAGGGATAAAACTATTGTGACAAATATTACGTGATACAAAAATATTCAATATCTCATACCGGCATTTTTATGTAGGTTGGGATCTCTAACTGCTATCACATGGACCCTGGGAATGAGCTCGGCGGTATATTTTCCAGCTAGGTCAGAAACTATTGCTTTGGAAGAATCTTGAACCCAAACTAAACGTCCACTAAAATAACACAGAGGACCAAGAGTGGCTGTTCCGGAGAGACGAGTGACCAACGATCCTGAGACCTGAAAAATATGTATTGTTCAAATGTGTAGCTTTTTTATGTCAAAGGTGGCAAACGAGCAGACCGGGTAGTAGTGACCGTCGTCCATAGACATCCGCAACATAGATGTTACGGATGCGTTGCCAACTTTAATTGTTGAGGAAAAGGGAGGGGTGGGAATCGGGAAATAGCAGGAAAGGGAAAGAATAGGGAAAAGGGAACCGGCTCTCTCATGATCGGACGAAACTCAACCATTAAAGGCTACCTCACGCCGATCTTCTGTGAGAGGGTGGTACTTCGCCGGTCGAGCCAGCACATGTTCGAGCTGTAGTTACTGACCACAGCTAGGCTCTACCACCTAGAGGCTCTACTACCTAGATTAGATTATTCACTGTCATAGAATTGAAAAGACAACACTCACCTCACTAATTCCTAGTGATATCTGATCAGCTGTAGGCGCTCGATGTAATTCAGAGCCATCATAACTTCTGACTAACCAATACAACCACTTCTTTTTTAAATCTGCTGTGAGGCCCATCACTGAAAAATACATTTGTTATTTAAGAATTCCAAAACATCGTATATGTGAAAACAAATGACATTATCACCTTGTTTTCCACTGAACAGTTGAGCTGGGTAATATATTATTTTATTTTCTCCGTTAAGCCTCGCGGCCTCCACAGCGTGTCCTGTATTCCAGTAAATGTAAGCGCCCAGCGAATCTATTGTAAGCTCTTTAGCTACTGTCACGATAGGGACGGGCTCACGATTGCCTCCGTCGAAATTCCCTCTTGTTATCTGGAATAGACCAAGAAATTATTTTATAATTTTGTTGTATAGCTTCATATAAAATTCTTCGATAGTTCTTCTATATGATAGGTACAAACCAATTGTTGTTTCGGGTTGGACCAGTAAATCTTTTTGCCGACCCAATCGACTGCTAGACTTCCAACGTTATCCATATTCGGCATCATTCCATGTTCATTGGTCGTCGTATTGTACCACATCACGGTCGAAGCGTTTGTGACCAAATAAAGCTTATCTCTATACCATGATATGTCAGTTATATGGAGGTTTTCTAAATGATCTCTGTGAAAAGAAAGTATTAGGTAAATTCCAGGTATTGATATTTTTTATTCCTTCAAATGTGTTATGTACAATAATAGATTAGAACCTCGTCCTTACTAATATTATAAATGCGAAAGTAACTCTGTCTGTCTGTCTGTCTGTTACGCTTTCACGCCTAAAATACGGAACTGATTTTAATGAAATTTGATATAAAGATGGAGTCAACCTTGAGAAAGAACATATGATAGTTTTAATCCCAGATTTTTGAAAGGTTCTCTTGGAAACGCGATATAACCGAACTCCACGCGGGCGAAGCTGCGGGCGGAAAGCTAGTTAAGAATAATTTTAAGAATTACGAAAATATAGACTTTCTCCTGTAATCTTATAATGTAATAATCTTTGAGGGGATGTGGTTGTGTTTACAAAATCTACATGCTAACCTGTGTATGAGTGTCTGTAGGTTATCTCCTGTTAAATCAGTTTGCAGAAGTCCATCCGGGCCCGATAAAAGCAAGGTGCTTTGTAAAGTAGCGGGGCTCGATGTTAAAGTTTTGCCAACAAACTCTGAAGACCAAGGACCCGAGCCTGATTCTGTCACAGCCGCAACTTGAATACTATATTCAGTATCTTGCTTCAAATTTTCAACAATAAACATTGATTCGTTGATATTTTCTCTGAAATAAACATCGCAAAATTACGTCAAATTGTAGGTACCCTATTTTTAGCATAATTGATTCGATATTTTCTGTGAAATAAAAAAGCATCACAAAATTACTTTAAATTGTAGCCTAGTTTTAGTATAAATAGATTATGAACACTTACATCCTTGTTATTTTTCCTGTTTTGGTGTCTGTGAGTTGCATATGAAACGTCCATTGCTGCCAAGCTCCAATTCCTTGATGACCAAGAAGATGTGGTGGCGACCATGAAACTTTAGCGCGATTTATTCCCATAACACTTTGAACGCCTAAAGGTGGGTTCACTGGAACAGGTATCGGCTGACAGCTCCTCAAAGCAACCAATACTTGCCTCACCGAAATCGTTTTTGTGTTATACGCCAAAGGATACTCGTTGTGAAAATAACTGTCACTTCGAGAGTGATATTCTTCTGATACCATTTCTTCGCCATTTGTCCAGTAAAATAATCCGTTAGCGTAAGCTATGGATCGCGCAGACGAAAACATTGGAGTCTGCGTGTTACTTCGAAAATCTGTCACTTCTCGTCTGTTGAAAAAAATATATGTTTAAAAAATTGTTTCATAAAGTGTGTTTAGTATACAAAGAATCTATTTACCCGTCCAAAGAAACAGCTAGTACTGTATTACGTCTAAGATGAGCAACGAGTAGCCTAAAGTCAGCGTGGTCTACTGTAAATGCCCCAAGATGAGCATCTCGTACTATAAGCTCTGGTTTCGCATTATGTCTTACTCCATTAGAAATATTTGCCAGATCCAATCGATACAAGCCACCGCGTTCCACGCCGCGTAGCGCCCAAAAGAGATATCTACAACATTATGTTTACGGTAATTTTTTGCATTTCCATTGCTATAGAAGTTATCGAGTTTGATACTAACCCATTATAAGAATCAACTTCAAAATGTATTGGACGAGAATTAAACCCAGATAAAGCAACAAGTTGATTTCTCCCGTCGAAATCACACCTCAATATTTTCCAACTAGCATATAGGCTTGCGTTAGACCAGTTTGAGGCTTCTTTGTTGTAATTTACTTCAGCGAGTACATATAGATGTTTATTGAGCCAATCCACAGATAGATCGAGAGGCTTGTCTAATATATTTTCAGATCTCAAAATAGCTTCTGAGTGACTCTTTCGTAATAAGGAGCTTCGGTAGACGAAACCATTTGATACTGACACGAATAGCGAGTCACTCGATAGATCCAATCCAACACCTTGCATATTTAAGGAATAATTAATTAATCTTTTAACAACATAATACAAAATACATATACAGATGTACAAAATGTTAGAAAGGACATACCTTTTATTTTATGCTCTGTGCTATATAGTTCTATTGGGTCCGATAACATATCATTAGCAGGTGCTGCAAGAATGTTCTGTTCTCCTCCTAGAATAAGAACTGGTTGTTGGCTTGGAACAGCTGTAATAGAAATAAATCCATACAAAATCTGTTCATTATCATCGAATATTTTCTTTATTGTATATTCTTACAAATTGGTAATGGAGGTGTTTTAATCCTGACGGTAGCTCTTGGTCCTTCCCCTACAGAGTTCCTCATTGCTACCGACACTTCATATTCTCTAGCCGGTGCAAGGTTTTGAAACATATAGAACAACGTGTTGTTTGATGCGGGCATGTCCTGTGTTAAGAATTGATTAATTAATTCATCATCAGCCTATCAGAGAAAACTGCTAAGCTAAAGCTTCTTCTCACATGGAGAAGATTTGAGTATAATCATCACGCTTGCTCAAGACGGATTGGCGATATTAAAATTATAATTTGAAATTATAAATCCAGGTTTCCTCACGATGTATTCCTTTTCCATCTGTCAATGTTGCCTAAATAATCTTAAAAAGTACATATGACTCGGTAAAATCACATTGGTACTTATCAGGTTTCGAACCTGCGCCCTCATACATGAGAGGCGAGCCTTTAACCTCTAGGTCACCACGACTATGTTTAATTAATTAAATTTTTAGTTTTACCAATGGAATATATGCATAAATATAGTACATCTTCAGCTAAAAAAGAGTCAAAATCCAATAAAGACTTACTTCTAATGCATCGTTCGTATTAGGTTGCGTGTCACCAAGTCTTAGGACATATGATATGAGTGGTCCGTTGGGGAATGGTCCTGGTTCCCAAGAAATAGCCACTCGACTTGGATCTGGCGCTGCGGCTCTTAAACTTGATGGTGCTGAACTTGGCTTTCCACTTTCAAGTGTTGATATAACCACGGAAGGCGTTGAATACACCGGCTCTCCAGAACCGCTGTGACTTGATAGAAAAATCGCTACACGGAACTGAAATAGACACATATATTTAATTAAACTATAACTCTTTTCCCATAAAGAAGTTTTGATATTTCCACTCACCCTGTATTTAGTATAGGGACGTAGATTTTCAACGTGTATTATTGATTTATCAGTGCGACTTGAGTTAGAATAGTATTGCCAGCTGCCAGGCAGTTCTTCATACCGCCACTGGACCAGATAACTAAGGTTTCCAAGATTAGGAGCGTCCCATACCAGAGATAATGACGTGGCAGTTAGACTATCAGCTACTAGGGCTGGTGCCGGCGGAGTTCCTAATAGATCTGTTAAAAAGTGTTTGCATTTAATATTATTGTAATTATCATCATCAGCCTATCAGAGCCCACTGCTGAGCAAAGGCCTCTTCACACATGGAGAAGGATTGAACATTAAAACGCTTGCTCAAGACGGGTTGGCGATTTCAAACTTATAACTTGAAATTATAAGTACAGGTTTCTTCGCGATGTTTTCCTTCACCGTCTGTCAGTGGTGTCTAAATATTCTTAGAAAGTACTTATGACTAGGAAAATCACATTGTTACTTGCCAAGTTTCGAACCTACGACCTCATGCACGAGAGGTGTACCTTTAAACTCTAGGCCACCACGATCTCCTATTGTAATTATAACTACTATTTACTTTTCCCTCTATTATTATTATATCCCTTTAATATAACTTACCTCTAACTTTTTGCACGTACGTATTAAGTGCTTCATTGCAGCCCATAACGCAATATAATTCTCTCGAGAACACCGCTTCTGACGTCACATTCTGTAATTTGATGAAGTCATAGAAGTAATTTTTAAGATCATTCTTTTACCCAAGTACGATTCGTCACACTACATTCGGAGCATTAGAAGTTTTTCATTAAAAAAATAATAAAATTTTACTATTAACATAGCTTTTAGAATGAGATACGGAAAAAACTTCATATGTAGAGTTACAATCAAGTTCGGACTAAGTGTAAAATATATTATTTATATACTTACGCATACAATTTGACACGAATTCTCCAAGCCTTCCAACCAAAGATTGCATCCGAGTCTGCACTGTGAATAAACAAAAATAATTACATTTACATCAAGATAATAACTATAGCAGAAATAAACAAATTATTTGACGTCACAGAAAGAAGAAATTAACATACACCAATAATAATGCACTTACAATTATATTTACATGTACTTAAAAAATAATTTAATTAAACTGGTATATGGTTATCACGTATTAAATTAACATAATAAACTCATACAATAGGGGAGAGTTTTGATAAAGTCGTAATACCACCTATCTGTTAATATTACTCTAGTAATTTGTTGATTGAGGTATTAATCATTTTATTTACACCAATAGAAGTTAGTACCCTTATGACGAGTTTCGTAAACTCAATACAGCTGGTTACGAGTTTTTTATTAAACTGAAGGATGATTTTTTCTAACTAAATTTTGTATGTATGATGCTATTCGTTATTTTTTACTATACGTATTTAAGTTAGGGACAAAACGTTAAGAAAAAGTATTTTAATATATTATTTAATATCATTCTTCTAGTTATTGATGCCAATAATAAATAAACTAAATGATTATTAAGATTTGTCATATTTATAATATAATATCACAGATGTTTTAATCAATAATATATATAAAGAGTTTTAGTTACATTCAATCTAGTGTTTACATTCCTATTAAGATATAGGTAAATGACATTATATGTATATGTAGTAAAATATAAGAATTAGTAAACTTCTGTTTACAGTTATATGTAAACAACAAAACGGCCCAAGTTCCTTTTGGTTGTGTTTACAACACATGTGCATTTGAAGTTCGCGTAAACAAACATTGTATAACGAATTCTGTACACTTGAAGCTCAAGTGTTTAGGAATTTATCTCTTGAAACTGTCCCTAAACAAAACAGTAGCTAACTTTAAGATATTTTTTTGGCGAATATTTACATATTTTGTGACTGTTAATTGTTTATTATATATAAACCTTTGTTACATATATTGTAACTTAAATGTGAATATTGTCGGAGATAGTGCAAAACCGCGTAACCACAATTGGATAAATCCGCGTATCTACTTTTTAAGAAAATTATCAGAAGTAAGTTTAATCTGAAATATTTTCTAAAGTAACGACTTTTAAACTATTTTTTTTTCACAATTAGTAATAAATTAAAAACTAAAAAATTACCTATATATCAGCGATTATTAATTATTGGTCTATATTATATAGGTTAACAATGAAAAGTGGTATTAATATCTTACTCCAACACTCGTAGCATATCCTGTGCACATTTTTGCACGAAAAAGGCCATATATAAAACAACCAACCAACTAATTCTCAATTACATAAACGTCAATAAATCCTTTAATCATTCAACGTTTTTTCCTTATTCCAGGTAATAAGTTGATTAGCGTGTTAAGGATCCACGTTAAAGTTACACTTAAAAGGCCTTAACGGATTTTCACGCTCGGTTTCCGACCTTCACGGTAAGTAAGCTTGGAATCCCACAGGTGACCGTTTCACCCCAATCTTTGATTACCTTCCAATCCCCAAGAAAATAACTACAGGTCCGTCTCGATCGGGTAGACAGAAAAAATAGTTCCGACAATCACTCATTTGTGACACTTGGTAATGTCTTTTTTGTATATTTTACGTAGGAAGTAAGGATAACTATATCATATAAATGTGTTAGCTTGATTATTATTTACTTCTATCGAGTAAGGTTTACCTACATACGTTCTTTAAGTTTTTTATCAAGCTTACTAAATTCGATTATAAATATAAACAATTAAAATATTTCAATACAATCAAATTACGTCATACATATTCTCTTTTATTTTAATATAAATCTATATCAAAATTAAATTCAAAATTTCATAATAATGAACACAAATACCTAGTAACTATCAGTATTAAAGCTCGTATTAATTTTGTTTCAATCCTTCCTCAAACTTATAGTCTAGTTCTCAGAACAATTAAACGTCGTCAGTTAATTTCGGTTGCATAAGTCCGTATCAACACTCGCTCTCATTAGCTATATGGGACGGGATTGGATTTGAATTACCACTTTTATACTAGTTTTTGCCCCCGACTCTGTCCCCGTTAATTGCAGAATTGCTAATATATATGTATAGCTGGCGGGTCAACCTCTATTCCGCTTAGAGTCCGTATATAGCCAGATATTTGAAATGAAAAATTATCGCGATAATTAGAAAGTACATATGACTCGGAAAAATCACATTGGTACTTGCCAGGATCGAACCCGCGCAAGCAACGAGAGGCGGGCCCTTTAACCACTAGGCCACAACTGACTTAAAAATAAAATAAACATATCATTAAATAAAAAGTATTGAAATCAAGTTTTAAATACATTTAATAACTGTCATCATGACAATTGACATTATTATAAAACTTTTTTTTAATCTATTGCATCATTCGCACTGAAATCGTGGTATATTCTGCCAATGTCAACATTTTTATTCCTTCGACACTTAAAAAACTTAAAGTTTAATAGAAATACAATCACAATTTAAAAGTTAAATTCTTCTGTCAAATATATTATGTATCCATCGGAACTTGTTTGTCAAATAGACATTTAAATAGCTCCCTATGTTAACTTGAGTAACTGTCAAAACAGCCCGCCCCGCTTGACCCTTGGTTAAACTGACGCGTTATTAATATTAAACGAGACGTCACTATACATTATAGACACTTCCTAGAGATGGAAAATATTAAATAATGTGACATTTATATATTAAAATAACATTAGAATCTATAAATATAGGTCTTATAATAATAATTAAGAGGAGATACGGTTAAGACTATGTGGAATTACTGAACGAATAAATGAAACTAATATTTTCGGATTTACTACGCGATTTTTATTTTTAATTATAAACTACATACTTCCGACGTTTCGGTTACTTTACAGCAACCGTGATCACGAAGACGAGATGTGAATGTCTGTCAGACCGACTAATCAATCCCTACTAATATTATAAATGCGAAAGTAACTCTGTCTGTCTGTCTGTTACGCTTTCACGCCTAAACCACTGAACTGATTTTAATGAAATTTTGTACAGAGATACAGTTGACCTTGAGAAAGAACATAGACTAGTTTTAATCCCAGACTTTTGAAAGGTTCTCTTGGAAACGCGATATAAGCGAACTCAACGCGGGCTAACCTGCGAGCGGAAAGCTAGTCAAAAATAAAAATCGCGTAGTAAATCCGAAAATATTAGTTTCATTTAAATGAATACTCGCGAAAATCTTAGATCCCATTACTGAACGAATATCTGTATCGAATGTTTGAATGAATGAGTAAATACTAAATAACAATATAACTACGATAAAGTAAGACCTCGCGTCCCAAATACTTAATACAATTAACAGTCAAGATAAGGTTTGTTAAATATAAATGTGTTGCTATTATTAATATTAAAATAACGAGTGACATCCATTAATATGTAGCACTTAAAGTAATAAACAAGCTAAGTAAATTACAGTAGTAATTATCCAGCATCCTGTCTCGTGCCTCAATAACAAAACAATAGTTGCTCCCTTTGGATTCATTAAAACTGTCGCTTCGCTTAATTGTTGGAGCGATTTCGGAAATGCTCTCGGAAGTCCAATTGGGGCCAGGATGTAGGGAACCAGAAGCATCGGCCCGTGGCTTGGACGATAATTAAAGTTATATTTATTTCCGTGACAATATAAGAAATATATAGAAAAAAGGTTTTATATTTTAAAGGTTTTTTATTTTATATATCATCTGTGCAATAATGTTGACTTTTGTAATTACATACTTCTCAACTTAAAATGCGATGCGTTCTAAATTTAAAATTGCAATGCGAATTGCGATGCGTTTTTAGAACTTTTATTTTTGATTTCATTTAATTCAATATTAATAACTATATGGTATGATGTAATAAATATATATAAAGACAATAGTACCTAATATCATTTTAAGCTAAATACATTCTTATTGGATTATTATCTTTATCACGTGTCGATATTTTTAAACTTAGTTGCCGCTTTTTTATTCATAAATAACGTCTGTTTGTGTCAACATATAAAATTGAAAGACAAATAGTACAGACAAAGAAAGTTTAATTTTTGTTTATATCTATGTCAAATCATTTTATTATTATTTATTAGCTTTTTCTTAGAATAAATATAATCGATTTGTATTAGTATATCTATAATCGATTACTAGAAATTGATATATCTGTTGTTTGTTTACGCTATGTTCATTGTTTTTATTGCTTGTATTAAACGTACTTTCCAAGTACATTATTGCATAATTTCTATAAGATAACTATTAATTAGAAGTTAATAAAAGTCAACTTGAAGTCTTAATTGTTTAAATAACTTCGATATGCTATTTTTTGAATATTAAACAACAAAGATTGAGTCATCTTTTTACGTAAAATTTATGTAGAGAACTTATTTAAGTTACATATAATTAGGAATCACACAGTAAAGTAACATTTAATCACGTTATTACTTAACAGATTATAATTACTGATTTACGATGAGGCGCCAGCGGTTTTTGTTATTCTAAGTCCGTTACTGACCTCAGATAAACTTTAAGATACAACAACCCATATATATTTTATTGCACGAGCCGATCATCTTACACGCTCACAAGAAACACGTGAATTAAAACATTAGTTTTAGGATTTTGAAAAGGATATTTTTTTAACTATATAATGATGTACAGTAAATTTATTTAAACTGAAAACTATGAATTAAAATATATATTTGATGAGGTAGAATTACGTCAGATTTTTGTTTAAACAAAAATAATACTTGGCGTTACTTCTTATAGCATTTATACAAAACTTAGTATTCATATAAAGATCCTATCATAAAGATAATAATTAAACCATTACCTATTACCACAGATAAAGACATCAAATCATTATCGATTACCACAGATAAAATGTGCCAAAATAATCGTAAAAACTATAAAATGAATCCTAATATTTCGAAATCAAATTGTAACATTGCAATTACATAAATTAATGGTTGCAAGAGACGAAACGTTTTAGCATTCTATAGATTCACCATGCGGGTGTCTGGTCCATCGTTGTAGTGAGAGGAGCTTCAACAGTGACTGGGACTTGTGACCCAGGTGTAGGTTTAAGGGACCCTATCTAACGCGTTAAACGCTCACCTCCACTGTCCAAGCTCCTCTCTCTACCTAACCAAATTTGAAAAGAACCTACTAGGACTACCTTCGATGTACGTTCCAAGAACGCATTAATGTGAGTTCTGGACAAGCCCAAGTCTTTTAGTAGGTTGTAGAGAGATTTCGCTGTTATACCTCTCGCTCCCACTTCTACCGCGTACAAATCCAAATAAAATATGCCAAAAATAACCGTAAAAACTGAAAAATGAATTCTAATATTC